AGGGTTAACTTAACTCAAAAATGGCTTGTACTTCCAACCCAACTATAATTGAAAAACAAATTCTAATATTAAAAAAGGATGGTCAGATGGGCGGTACAATATACATTCGATTCAAGGAGGGAGGGGGAGACTATTAAGAATATTAAAACGAGGATGAAAGATTTCAAGCTAAAAGAAACAAATTATTTAGTTGCTTGATAACGCACAAGAATTGGGTTTACTCTGCCCATATATTTATTACGATACAGGATTACCCACAGAGGATAAGACTGTAGAGACGACTTGAAACTTTATAGATATGACTTTCTCAAGGTGGAATTAAGTCTTCTGGCTCGGATAAAGTCGTGAAACGGGTGATTAAATTATTTGGCAAAGAAAGACAAGTTTATAGTTGCGGGAAGTCATGAATATGAGGAAACAGACAGTGTAAATTTCGTACAATCGTCTCTGAAGTCTCATCCTTTGTGGGTAACCCTGTACATTGATACCTTAATTAATCCATGTATCTTTGAAATGTTCAATAATTGCCTATAATATATTCTTGGTACTCCCTGGGATGAATGATTTTAATTAATGAGACGTGGATTGTAATCCCTGATAGAAGAATAGAATGTTGTAATCTAGATGGGATACTATTACAAGCCGCGGTTCCGGAACAGAAAATAGAACGGTCAACCAAGAACAAAGTGATCTTGCAATTTTTTAATTTAAATATTAAGCATTTTAAACAAAAACGATGGAGGGCATCTACAACTGTAGAAAATATGGCACTATTCAATAGATAGCTAGCTAGCTAGATAGATAGATAGATAGATAGAAGGATAGATAGATAGAAACATAGACAGACATACAGACACCCCGACACCCAGACAGAAAGACAGACAGATAGACAGATAGAAAGAAAAGATATATATACTATCCTGCCTGGTTTAGCTAGAAGGGATGGAATTTGGTGTGTAAACCCAAAATGCTATTTCCTAAACATAAGATCTGATCAGCTCAACCCTGTTTAGATACTGTGGGACCCATTATCCCTATCCCTGCTGGAGTACTTGAAAACCAGGATACGCTGGGGGGTGTCAATCCCATGTTTTATATCCAAATCCCATGTTTTGATATCCAAATATGACAAATGATGCATCATTGGAAAGCTCTTATACTCTACCTTAAGAATCTGCAACAAAAAAATTAGCTTTGCAAAAATTTGTTTTTTTTCTGCTAAATCCAATTATATTGTAAAATGTTTGCAAAAAAATGTGCAAAAAATGATAAATATGCATTTTTGAAAAGCCCTGGACCATGCCATTTCAAATATGCAAAATATTTAGCAAAATTTAAAATAACCTTATGTCTGATCAAGAAAAACTAAAAATGTGCAAATTTCTTTTGACGGGTTGTATGTAAATAATTTGCAAAAATTTCTTGCAAATCTTATGCTTTCCGTTTCCTTATGCTAAAGCTAAAAACTATCAAAATCTGACAGCTGAAAGTGGGTCAAAACAAAGAATTAGTTTGTCACAATAAAAAGTGGCTATTCAGGAAGTGTGCCTGAGGACTCAGACAGTTAGTTCATCATTTGTTCTACAATCATTTGTTCCACAATCATTTGTTCTACAATCATTTGTTCTACAATCATTTGTTCTACAATCATTTGTTATACAATCCTTTGTTATACAATCATTTGTTCTACAATCATTTGTTCTACAATCATTTGTTCTCCAATCATTTGTTCTACAATCATTTGTCCTAAAATCATTTGTTCTACAATCATTTGTTCTACAATCATTTGTTCTACAATTATTTTTCCTACAATCATTTGTCCTACACATCATTTATAAAATCAGTTTTACTATTGCACACAAATCAGGCGAAATTTCAATGATAAACAATTTATTTTTGTTCTCAATTTGAAGCGTTGCTTTTCAGCCCTGTATTGAATTTACAATGAAAAATAAATCGTTGGTTGTTTCGTCTCATTTTCTCCATTGTCTCTGTTTGATAAATCCTCAAGTTCTTTAAAAGAACCTTAACTAAAACTTATCAAATAGAAAAGCTAGGATATCTTAAAATAATTTGATATAAATTTTTTTTAAATAATTGAAATATTTTCAACATCATGGTTTTAAAGGAACGTGAGTTTTACATTTGATATTAGATTGAAGCCTAGTGGTCTCCTAAATCAATTATTTAAGGGGTTTACACCCTTTACTCTTAAACTTAGAAATCAAATTGGAACCAATTTTATACTTTCCTTTCCTTTCTCTTTCTTACCCACTTTATAGCAAGTTCTAGGATTTTTCACTTTCAGCCTAAATCGACATTTCAGAAAGTTCCAGTTGAGATATTGTACTTTTGGCAAGTTGTCTCTTGGGATAATGCATTCTTGGGAAACCCTTTTGGGAATGTAATTTAATACCTAAGACACCAAATCTTATTTGACCGTCCTCTTTTTTGTAAGAATTACTAAAAATCTAGATTTGAAACAAAGAAACCCTAAATTCAGTTTTCTTGAGACAACTCACGTGTGAACTACAGATTTTTTATCTAGACTCAGTGTATAACTGTGAATAAGCCAAAACAATTCTAAATCTCAAAGAGGATGTTTAAATCATTAAATTGGATGAAATTACATGCTTGCGCGGTTAAAGGTATTAATTACTTTTCCATAATTGGCATAATGTTCTTTCCTTCGAACTTGTATTTGATTATTAAATAAAACCAGGAACAATCAACGGAAGTTGCCATTGTTGATTAAAGATAAGAATGTAAAAGTGTTTGAAAAGAAACTGTGTGAACCCAAGATTAGATCTGTCCTGCTCCTGCTCCAGGTCCTACTGGAGTACCGGGAAACTACCGTTTTCTCGTCTCCGAACTCAGGATACAAGGAGCAGTGATTCAACCCCTCTCATCCCGTTAACATCTCTGGGAAACGTCGTCTTGGCGCGCACAGTTGGACACTTACATATCATTTTAAACATAAGCCAAGAAAAAATTACGAATACCAAACAGACATCTAAAAATGATATAACAACTCTTTCCATATTGGAACATAACTCATTTACATAGAAAAAAATCATTAAAAATCATGTTCTATTTAATCTCAAGAAACTTACGAATATATATTGTCTCTACAAATTCAAAAAATAGATCCTTATTACCATGTTCTTATCTCTCTCTTTTTCTCAGTTATTTTCTAAATTGATTTAATAAATATTTATCATAAGTTAACAAATATAAAAATTAACATTTTTTAAATTATTCTTTAAGCATTTATTTGATAAAGCATCTTACAGCAAGAAAGTTGGTCACATTCTTCACGAGAATCATGCTTTGAACAAAACCAACTGAACGTGATCTCTGTTTTCATTCTTAATTCTTAATTTTTTTTTGCAATTTCTGTTCGAGAGAGTTTGTTTGTTCCGATTCTAATCTTTATAATTTTAGACAAAATACACTTCCGTCAGTTTATACAGTCTGCAGCCTTATTTAACGGAACTGTTCACTGATTTTAGAATATACACGTTGTCCAAATTTGTTCAATAAGAAACACTAAACTAAACCAATCTCACAGCTCAAAGATGTTTCTAATGGACAGAATGATACTTTCTGTAAAAAATAAACATCGCGTTTTTTATCTTTACAATCAGGTTGCGTAATAGGAGGAATAAAGTTCGAGGCGAGAAATAAGTTCTTCAATAGAATGTTTGATTTTTTTCAGTTTTTATTTTTTCATATTGGTCATTCCATTCTAAGGAACAGAATATTATCCACGAAATTCATGGCAAAAATGTGATTGTTATTTTGACAAGAAGAGGTCGCCATCAGACATGCACGCAGCACAGTGCACTTACAGACTAAATATATAGGCAAAACGAGACCAGTATGCCAAATGAGACATCTCCTTTTAGGGAAATTTATTTGCAGAGACATCTTTGGTCTGGTAAATCGGCTTAGTTTTTTACGTAATTTTTATAAATTGTAGTTTTTTTGCATTTTAAAAATATTAACAACTTATTTTTGAGAAACAACAAGTTTTGTGATATTTATGAAATAAAAAGTCTTAATTGTTCAGAGTCCGAATTTAATAAATTTGAGCCGCGTCTAAATTCCGTCAAAACCCGGTTTCAATTGAGCGCCGTACAATTTACAGTGGAACCACCCATATTTGAGCCGCGTCTCAAATTTAAGCCTCAGACGTCGAATACGAAACAATAATACAAAGGAATTGAGTTTTTGCCACAAACTCTGATTTTCTAATTTCAATATTGTTGCAACCCAATGTCGTAGATCTTTAATATTTCAAACTATGAACGCTATTGGATCAAATAATGTAAGTTTGAAATATCAAAGCTTTACATCATAAGATTACAAAGATATAGGTTTTACAAAAACTGAATTTGTGGCAAAGACTCAATTCCTTTAGTTGCTTTAAAACGGGTTTATTCACCTGCACAATTTCATGATAAACTAAAAGCAAACTTTGGAAATCTCTGAGTCAAATAAAAGGGAAAAAATGCAGTTTATAAAACACTTTTCCCGGTGTATTAGTGAAAGAATTATCGCGTATACAAATCTGACATGTAAACAACAAATCTGACATGTCAACAACAAATCTGACATGTCAACAACAAATCTGACATGTCAACAACAAATAAAACCATGCCTCACCAGACTCTTTTCGAGTAAAGAAATTTAGTCTTTGCCACAATATGAACCTTATATACATGAACCCTTAAGGCATAAAGCTTCTATATCTTGATTAAACAGTTTTTTTTTTTTTTACATTTTTTTACTATTTTATTGATCAAATAATATTTTTGCTGACCACAATATTCAGGGCAACATGATATTAGTGAGCAAAGTATTTTCAGACTTATATTTTTGTTAACCTATATTCCAACCTATATTCCTACCTATATTCCAACCTATATTCCAACCTATATTCCAACCTATATTCCAACCTATATTCCAACCTATATTCCGACACAAATTTCAGAAAAAAATGAAAATGTTTGCAATCAAAGATTTACATTTAGATTGAAATTCATATTTTCAACACTCTGAGAGGTTGGCGCACCAAAACTTTTTCTGACTTTTCAACTATTGAATCCTTTTCCGAACCTGATACTAAATTTAAATAAAACCCGGAGTAAACCCAACCATGGCTGGAAGAAACCCCTATCTTCTTCTTATCCTTCTATCCTCTGCAGTACATAAAGCTGAGTCTGCATGTACAGGATCAGAGTCTGTACATTTTGAGCTTGTAACAGGTCAGGTGTACACAGCTCCTACAGATATGCTGGATTCTAGACCTGGAACTCTCATGCTCACGGACTGTATAGAACTCTGCCTCTCTAACTCTACTTGTCAATCTGCAAACTTCGAGACAGGACTCTGTGTACTTTTCTCATCTTCAGCTCAATCTTCTCCTGGTAAACCATTCATTATATTCATTCTTTCCTAGTAAACCATTCATTTATTCATTCCTTCCTGGTAAACCATTCATTATATTCATTCTTTCCTGGTAAACCATTCATTATATTCATTCTTTCCTGGTAAACCATACATTATAATCATTCTTTCCTGGTAAACCATACATTATATTCATTCTTTCCCAGTAAACCATTCATTTATTCATTCCTTCCTGGTAAACCATTCATTATATTCATTCTTTCCTGGTAAACCATACATTATATTCATTCTTTCCCAGTAAACCATTTATTTATTCATTCCTGGTAAACCATACATTATATTCATTCTTTCCTAGTAAACCATTCATTTATTCATTCCTTCCTGGTAAACCATTCATTATATTCTTTCTTTCCTAGTAAACCATTTATTTATTCATTCTTTCATAGTAAACCATTTATTTATTCATTCTTTCCTGGTAAACCATAAATTATATTCATTCTTTCCTAGTAAACCATTCATTTATTCATTCCTTCCTGGTAAACCATCCTTTTATTCATCCTTTCCCAGTAAACCATTTATTTATTCATTCTTTCCTGGTAAACCATACATTATATTCATTCTTTCCTAATAAACCATTTATTTATTCATTCTTTCCCAGTAAACCATTTATTTATTCATTCTTTCCCGGTAAACCATTCATTATATTCATTTTTTCCTGGTAAGCCATTCATTATATTCAATTTTTCCTGGTAAACTATTAATTTATTCTTTCTTTCCTGATAAACCATTCAGTTATTCATTCTTTCTTGGTAAACCATTAATTTATTAATTCTTTCTTGGTAAACCATTCATTTATTCATTCTTTCCTGGTAAACCATTCATTTATTCATCCATTCCTGGTAAACCATTCATTTATTCATTCTTTCTTGGTAAACCATTCATTTATTCATCCTTTCCTGGTAAACCCTTCATTTATTAATTCTTTCCTAGTAAACCATTCCTTTATTCATTCTTTCCTAAGAAACCATATATTTATTCATTTTTTCCTGGTAACCATTCATTTATTCATTCTTCCTTGATAAACCATTCATTTATTCATTCTTTCCTGGTAAACCATAACATTTAACATTAATTAATGAAGTAATTTATCAAAAGAAAATCCGAAAATCATTTCATTTATTGAAAAGTAATTAGTTCATCTATTCATTAGTTCCTTTCATTTTTACATCAAAATATTCATGATACCTTTATTTAAGTTTACTTTTCTGTCCCAATGAATTCATTGAATAAATTTTTTCCTTATTTCGTTTAAAGTTGTCCTAATACTTACACTTTCTTATGTTTTGTTATGATATTTTTAAAAGTTTTTCTCCAAAATATCCATTTTCATTCATTTTTATCATTGTTTTATGAATAAATATATTCATTATTCATTCGTTAGAATGAGAAGCTAGCAAGGGTTTCTAGACCGAAACTGACAATATTAACCAGAAAATAATAGACTTGATTAGAATAAGAAATATTATGTTTAAAGAGATAAATAGTTGATAATATATTGTGGTTTACACTTTTCTGACCAACATGTATAATTTTCAAATATTTAACAACAAGATACAAGTATTCACCCGCGCTACTAGCATAAATGTTAAAGAAAATTTGGCTTCAATACTCACGTCACATTTTTATTTTCAAATAAAGAAATAAGAAATATAATTTCAATATTGTATATTTAAGGTCTAGTTCTCTGTATTCTTGTATATTTCAGGAGGTTTAACTGTATCTCAGTATCCAGTGTTCACTCTCTATATACAGAAAGTATGTTTACCAACCCCAAGCTGTAAAAGAGCCTGGTCTTTTGAATCAGTTCTAGGTAATCATTTTTATTCAATTCATTTATTCACTTATTTATGTATTTATTTATATATATCTTATTTATTGATCAGTTATGTATAGAGTAATTTTTTCAATTATTTATTAATTCATTTTTAAGTTTCATTATTTGTTTTTACATTACATTAAAGTAGGGATTTGGTAGATGGTTAAATAAAGGTATGGATTATGTATGTAGATGTCAGGGTATGGATAAAGTATCTTTATATCAGGGTAGGGATTAAGTATGTTTCTGTCAGGGTATGGATTAAGTATGTTTATATCAGGGTAGGGATTAAGTATGTTTATACTAGGGTATGGATTAAGTATGTTTCTGTCAGGGTATGAATCAAGTATGTTTATATCAGATAGATTAAGTATGTTTATATAAAGGTAAGGATTAAGTATGTTTATATCAGGGTATAGATTAAGTATGTTTATATCAGGGTATGGATTAAGTATGTTTATATCAGAGTATGGATTAAGTATGTTTATACTAGGGTATGGATTAAGTATGTTTATATCAGGGTATGGATTAAGTATGTTTATATCAGGGTATGGATTAAGTATGTTTCTGTCAGGGTATGGATCAAGTATGTTTATATCAGATAGATTAAGTATGTTTATATAAAGGTAAGGATTAAGTATGTTTATATAAAGGTATGGATTAAGTATGTGTATATCAGGGTATGGATTAAGTATGATTATACTAGGGTATGGATTAAGTATGTTTATATCAGGGTATGGATTAAGTATGTTTATATCAGGGTATGGATTGATGGACTATGCAAGAAAAAAAGGAGTAGTACCCAACAGAGAGAGCTGTATGGCTCTTTGTAAATCTGAACGAGCATTTCCTTGCAGGTAAAACCAACAGTTTAATCCCAAAATCAGGGGCCGGGCGTACTAAGAAAGGTTAAATTTATGCGAAAATATCACTTTGTCACGCCGTAATTTCTCTATTATTTTCTATAAGAACGAATCTATTTCTTATGTTCTATTTTATGAAATGAATAAAAGTAATATGAAACGAAAAAAAAAAATTAGAATATTTTTATTTCTATCAAATAATGTTTCATGCACTCTGAAATCTTCAGGATATATATTTGTATCTATATATAATGTAATAATCTGTCTGTCTGTTTTTTATGTCCGATAATAACTAAAAATGAACCCCTGGACCAATTTGCCTCAAATTTGGATTGGGGAACCCGTTTAAACCACGTACATTCGGACATTAATGGTTAAAAGTTCCAAGTTGAGTCAGCTGACTTTCAAAGCAAATTTTGTTTCACGGGAAAGCTGAGTTTTCAAGCTAGCATATTGATATTCTAGAATAAAATAAAACCTAATAAAATGAGGCTAGAATATCGATATCTGTATCTAATATTAGATCTGACTATATCCTGGTAAAGGTTGTATATATAAACATAAATACTATAGTAATCAAGTAATAAATCCGTTGCATAGAGAAACAGTATTATTATTGTAATCGCCTACTATGCCTTCTCAGCCTAGCTGAACATATAGCATTCAAACAATTTATTAATTTCAAACCATGGATGTAGGAGTAGAGGGAGTACTCTTAATTTTAGCTAGATCATAATTTAGATTGTATGCATACGTTTATGTTTGATTCTGGCGTACTGAAAGTTTTTTAATCTGTCCTATGTTTGAATTCCTTGTATCACTGAGATTTAAAGGGTTCAAGCTCTCAAGCAAAAATCAAAGAGAATTTTGCCAATTACATCTTTAAAACAAAAGCTAACAACAAATGCTTTATAGTGCTTCAAGTGTAAAGGGCTACAGAAAAGCATAAGTGAGTAAGAGCGGTAAAATCAAAGCCCAAGGCGTTGCGACACTGCAAAGTCGACCCTGTCTTAAAAATTGATGAGACTTTTTAAAGCAGGCTGCATCTATGTTTATAGTGTACTGAATGTTTTTAATGCCGTTCTACATATGTTTGAATTCTTCGTATATAAATTCATAAGAAATGTTTTTACGCGGTTCTATTCTTGAATTCCTTGTTTTCCTAACTCCAAGGTGTACTAGAATGTTTGAATTTCTTGTATTCTTACTCCACGGTGTACTAGAATGTTTGAATTTCTTGTATTCCTACTCCATGGTGTACTCGAATGCTTGAATTCCTTGTATTCCTACTCCATGGTGTACTCGAATGATTGAATTCCTTGTATTCCTACTCCATGGTGTACTAGAATGTTTGAATTCCTTGTATTCTACTCCATGGTGTACTAGAAAGTTTGAATTCCTTGTATTCTACTCCATGGTGTACTAGAATGTTTGAATTCCTTGTATTTCTACTCCATGGTGTACTAGAAAGTTTGAATTCCTTGTATTCTACTCCATGGTGTACTAGAATGTTTGAATTCCTTGTATTTCTACTCCATGGTGTACTAGAAAGTTTGAATTCCTTGTATTCTACTCCATGGTGTACTAGAATGTTTGAATTCCTTGTATTTCTACTCCATGGTGTACTAGAATGTTTGAATTCCTTGTATTCCTACTCCATGGTGTACTCGAATGATTGAATTCCTTGTATTCCTACTCCATGGTGTACTAGAATGTTTGAATTCCTTGTATTCCTACTCCATGGTGTACTAGAATGTTTGAATTCCTTGTATTCCTACTCCATGGTGTACTAAAATGTTTGAATTCCTTGTATTTCTACTCCATGGTGTATTAGAATGTTTGAATTCCTTGTATTCCTACTCCATGGTGTATTAGAATGTTTGAATTCCTTGTATTCCTACTCCATGGTGTACTAAAATGTTTGAATTCCTTGTATTCCTACTCCATGATGTACTAGAATGTTTGAATTCCTTGTATTCCTACTCCGTGATGTACTAGAATGAATATAAATGCGTTTATATCACGCGCCCTGTCACACTTCTAAGATTTCTCCATTTCTTCACTAAACCTTTAAATCGATGCAATTAAATAAAATTATTATGTTTTTTATTGATAAATTGATATCGTAAACTTCAGTGAGAATTATATTATTATTAATAAAGGGTGTGTTGACGCCATTTTTTTATTCATTCGAAACATCCATGTTTTCTGTTTAAAACTTCTAAATTGTTGATTAGATTAGGGTACAATTGTGAATCCGACCTGAGCTGAAAACTTTAGAATGGTGGATATCGAGATTAATGCTTAATCCTCTCTTTTTCTTAATATCGAGACCATCATAATCGACCTATTCTTGTACTTGTATCCTGAAAAGTGTAAAATTCAACCAATCAGAGTCGCTTATGTCAAGCCGATAACTTTGAAATTTTGCGCGCCATTTAAGATTAATATACAGAAACGGGAGGAATTCTCTAATTTCAAAAACCGGTTTTTGATTTTTCTCTACTATATCCAAGAATGAACGGTTTAAGAAGAAAATCAATAGTGTGTCCATTGGATACTTAAATTAAGTAGTCGGGATTAAGGATATCTCATTCTAAAGTTTTCAGCTCTGTTTAGATGGAAGGTCAATTGAAATTACAGCAACAGTTCCTTTAATTAGTAATGCTTGAAATTCAGACATGAAACATATCAAATTTTGAAAAAGGATATCATTTTGTTGCTAATCCAAAAATGTAATAATGATTCTTGTTGGTAAATAATTCCTGTGAAAGATGTGAGATCTCGGTAAAACGTGTAATTATCGATAAATAGTTTAATCTTTAGTTCTTACTTTCATTTTCTCCGCGTCTTACATAATCTGTCTTTTCTTTCCCATTTATATATTCTCTCCTATAATTAAAAAATTGTTATAATTTTACACAACCCCCCCCTTAAACACCTCCCTCCCTTCCTTGAACACCTCACTCCCCCCCTCCCTTCCTTGAACACCTGAGAAGGAAATCGAAACTTCTAAAATCTCACTTTCTTTGATGTACGCAACATTTCACATTTTCTCAAGCAATTAAATTCACTAAATATTATTTACGCTATTTACGCTGCATTTATTTCTATTCAAGCAATCATAATCTTGTAATCGAATATTTAAATATAGATTTGAATGAGTGTATTCCAACTTTAAATTCAGCTTGGTTTCCTCTCCCTCCCCCTAAAAAAATGTCCATCCCTTAAAACCCCTACCCCACCCCCCTGGAATCTTCACTCCCCTCCCTTCCCTACTGTTTTCTAAGATGTTTTGTTATTTTCCCACCATGGTATTTTAAGGTTTAATTCTAATAAGAGGAACTGATGAGTGTTCAAGGTTTGTTAACTCTCCAATTATTTGTTTTTTGTTTCCACAAAAATAAAATCTTCTTCAAATCACTCAGTTTAATCAGTTTTTATCCAGGCTGTTAAACTCTGGATGCTGTTTATAACACAGATAGTTTAGAAATTAAGACATAAATAGAGACATAGATAGAGGCATAGATAGAGACATAGATAGAGGCATAGATATAGGCATAGATAGAGACATAGATAGAGGCATAGATATAGGCATAGATATAGGCATAGATAGAGACATAGATAGAGGCATAGATATAGGCATAGATAGAGACATAGATAGAGACATAGATAGAGACATAGATAGAGACATAAATAGAGACATAGATAGAGACATAGATAGAGGCATAGATAGAGACATAGATAGAGACATAGATAGAGACATAGATAGAGNGGCATAGATAGAGGCATAGATAGAGGCATAGATAGAGGCATGGTGCTTTTTAACATCGTTTGTTTTAAATCTTCATAACAGGAACAAATCTCAAGAACTGAAAAAGGGTCGAAATATAGTTTATTAAACTTTTGTGTACTTTATTATCGAATATTATATAAAAATATGGAACTCAAACCTACTTTATTAACTCTGTCAGGTTTGAATCAGCATCAACACCAATCTGGAGTAGAAAAGATGATTAAAGTGTTTAGGTCAATAACCTTTCATGTTCATAAGAATAGTACAATCTCCCCTAGTTTAGGGAATACAGTTTAATAAGCAAACATAAGTACAAATTGGTACAAAACGATTATATGATTGTAAATGAGTAAAAAATTGTACACTGTACAAATCAGTACAAATCAGTACAAATTAGTACAAATCAGCACAAATCAGTACAAATCAGTACAAATCAGTACAAATCAGTACAAAGTAGTACAAATCAGTAAAAATCAGTGCAAATCAGTACAAAACTGTACAAATCAGTACAAATCAGTATAAAACTGTACAAATCAGTACAAATCAGTACAAATCAGTACAAATCAGTACAAATCAGTACAAATCAGTACAAATCAGTACAAATCAGTACAAATCAGTACAAATCATTACAAATCAGTACAAATCAGTACAAATTAGTGCAAATCTGTTTAAATGAGTCTTTGTAATGTATGGATTGTGGCAATTTCCAAAGAATTCTTCAACAGTTGACTGACTTTTAAACTTTATGTCATTGTTAATAAGATTGGCAAAAGCTTACATAAGAAAACGATAGAGAAATATTTAAATATATTAAAGGAAATAATTATTCCCCCCCCCCCTAGGGGGGGGGATTATAAACTTCTTACAGCTAAACGATGCTCCAACTTGAAATTCTGCTTGAAGATATTAGAAGGTATTGGAGGAGCTCAGTGTTGTCATCTGGCAACTTTCCCTCTCAACCTTCCCGACCTGATACACACAACACAACAGATTTTAATTCTTCAAACCAAATTTTTAAATTACTTTAATTACGCCATTTGTACAGCTAATTTTGCAACACAAGTATATTCTAGATAATATCTATACTTTAGAAATAGAAACATTTTTGGGTTAAGATCCGTTTATATGTTTTTTTTTTATTAAACAATAATGTAATATGAAGTTTGAAGTTTGAATGATATCGTAATGTTATGTTTAGAGCGACGTTTACTTAAATCAAATAGAAAAAGGTATTTATTTTCAATATGAAGCAGCGCTTGCAATCTCATATTTTAGGTTTATAACACATTAACGTAAATTAAGCACCTCTAAACTTTTGGTTCTTCCAACAGTTGGCTTCGACCCCATTTTTAATGTAAACTTTGCTTTTTTGTATTCATTATTTTATACTTTAAAATAATATTCTCATGAGAAGCAATTGTTGTCAATTATAATTATATATTTTGCTTGTCGGTTTGTTTGTATCCAATAATCCGATCGGACCCAAATTTTTTGGGGCACCTCGCGTGACCCCTATGGAGGTTTATGGAATCAAAATTTCGGATATTTGCCTCCATTAAAATTCGATTTTCATTGAATTTTTTAAAATTTTGTAAATCCATAAATTTTTTTATGAAATCCGAACTTTTTTTGATTTTGTTTTACGATGTTTACAAAGTGATACAAAGAGAAAATGTTTAAAATTGAGATAGAAGATGGGCGCGAAGCGCCCTTAAAGCCTAGTATACTAAATGTGAAAAATCGTCACGAATGATAAAGATATTTTTACCTTTTTGTCTAAACCTTATTTCTTTTCCACACACTATAAAACCTATATTATTTTTTCAATGTAAATTTTTTAATATAAAATTTACAATTATTAGTTTTGAGTTTATTGTCGAAAAATGATAACAATCCACAACAAATTATTTTCCTTTTCCCTTTTTTAAAATTGGGGGGGGGGGGAATATTCCAAACAACTTCTATATTTGTTGGTTTTTCCTTCTCAAACACCAAGTTATAATAAAAAATACTTACATTATTACTAGATCAGCAACCTATACCCGAGGGACGGGAGAATGCCGGTTGTCGGATATGGATCGGCATACAGTTGCAGGAACACAAACTTGGCAACAGTCACCACCAGATGAATATTTAGGAATCAATCATTAATCGTTAAAAAAATCTTTCTTAGGGTCGAATACTTATGTTGGAAATTGTTTCCATTTTGCTGTTGTTTTTTATTACATTTTCTCTGACATTTCTAACATTTATTCTGCCGTTTCTAACATTTTCTCTGCCATTTCTAAAATTTTCTCTGCCATTTCTAACATTTACTCTGTCATTTCTTACATTTCCTTTGCCATTTCTTACATTTACTTTGCCATTTCTTACATTTACTTTGCCGTTTCTTACATTTACTTTGCCGTTTCTTACATTTACTCTGCCATTTCTTACATTACTTTGCCATTTCTAACATTTATACTCTGCCATTTCTAACATTTACTCTGTCATTTCTTATATTTACTTTGCCATTTCTTACATTTACTTTGCCATTTCCTACATTTACTTTGCCGTTTCTTACATTTACTCTGCCATTTCTTACATTTACTTTGCCATTTCCTACATTTACTTTGCCATTTCTTGCATTTACTCTGCCATTTCTTAAATTTACTCTGCCATTTCTTACATTTACTCTGCCATTTCTTACATTTACTCTGCCATTTCTTACATTCACTCTGCTATTTCTTACATTTATACTCTGCCATTTCTTACATTTACTCTGCCATTTCTTACATTTACTTTGCCATTTCTTACATTTATACTCTGCCATTTCTTACATTTACTCTGCCATTTCTAACATAATCTCTGTATTGTATAATATATATCCTAAACATATATTTAATATATATCTAAGTATATAGATAGTAGATATATAGATCTCTGAAAAATTGAACATTAGTTCCCAACCCTGCGGAATTATCCCATGGATTATCTGAAAATATTTAATTGTCATCCCCCCCCCCACATACCTGTCCTTAACTTTCTAGTTTTCTAGATCATTCGACTCATCCTCCTACTTTTCGATTATCCTGCTCATTCCTGTACTTTCATTCATCCTATATATGCTCAGTTTTGTACTTTTATTATTACAGTTTAACTGTACTTTTCAATTATCCTGCTCATGTTGTCCTTTATATATTACGATGTATTACAGTTCAACTGTACTTTCCTATTATCCTGCTCATTTTTGCACTTTTATTATTTTATTATTTATTATTTAAAGTACAGTTTAACTGTACTTTTCAGTTGTCCTTCTCATTTTGTCCTGTATATATTACAGTTCAACTGCACTTTTCAATTATCCTGCTCATTTTTTTACTTTTATATATTACAGTTTATAATTCTGTACTTTTCAATTATCCTGCTCATTTTTGTACTTTTATATATTACAGTTCAACTGTACTTTTCAATTATCCTGCTCCAAAAAAATCAAGTTACCGTGTATTAAGATCATGCATAACTTTGGTATTTGACAATTTTTATTATTATTCAGAACATACATGCTCATTATTTCTTGTGCTTTTTTAACATTAAATTCATTCTATATTTTCATCTTTACTTGACCGTTTTATAGAAGAAACAAAATTAGATTTTGATAACAGTAAACCATTAATAGACTTCCTCTGTCTTAACTTAAGAAGGAAGATAATTAGAGACTTATAAAAGCAATAAAATCGTTTTTTACAATTGTTAAAACAGATACGCCCTTTAAATCCTTTAATACTCTTCTACTCCCTAATACATTTTTCTCAACCATCTTTTGTCCAAGAAATAATCAAAATCGTGTTTTCACAAATTTTCTCTTTTTCCACACCCTTCACTGTTCTACTCAAAATTGATTTATACTAAAACTTTCTACGGAAGGACATTTTGGTTTTAAATTATAGAAATGCAAAAAAGTGTAAAACATGTATTATGATCTTATCTTGCACTATTAATTATGTAGTTTGGGTCATAAAAAAAAACTATTTTTAATTTAGTGTACTGTAAAAATTCAAGAGCTAGATAATAATAATCAGGCTTTGTATTATCCTCATTGCTTATATAATGAAAAATCGATGTCATTGATATATAATGTATTCCGTTGAGGTGCTTTAAATTAAATACTCTTTGTGTAATTGTATTTTATTATTATTCATCCTACAATCCATACACCCCCTTTCATTTTTCGTGACAATTCTCTTTAAGTTGAGCGTTATCCCGCCATTTATTATTCTGGAGTACTGATTGTATTGTATTGAGTACAGAGAACAATTGTGTCGATGATCCTGTTAAACTCTGTGATTTCCAGCTACTGGAGAATAGAATCATGAAAACTGTAGATTCAGTTTATCAGGTACGCACGAAGATTTCCAGCTCCTGGAGCATAGAATCATGAAAACTGTAGATTCAGTTTCAAGGTATACACAAGTTCAAATCTCCCAGCATTTTTGTCCAATTTCGCCACTCGATCATTTAAGCATGTTATGTTCATCCCTGTTTCTCCATTTCTCTCCTCATCCCAGTTCTTCATTTCATGATCATCCTGTTCCTCCATTTATCTCCTCATCCCAGTTCTACATTTTATACTCATCCTGTTCCTCCATTTCTCTCCCCATCCCAGTTCTCAATTCATACTCATCCTGTTCCTCCATTTCTCTCCTCATCCCAGTTCTTCATTTCATGATCATCCTGCTCCTCCATTTCTCTCCTCATCCCAGTTCTCCATTTCATGATAATCCTGTTCCTCCATTTCTCTTCTCATCCCAGTTCTCCATTTCATGCACATCCTGTTCCTCCATTTCTCTCCTCATCCCAGTTCTCCATTTCATGAATCCTGTTCCTCCATTTCTCTTCTCATCCCAGTTCTCCATTTCATGATAATCCTGTTCCTCCATTTCTCTTCTCATCCCAGTTCTCCATTTCATACTCATCCTGTTCCTCCATTTCTCTTCCTATCCCAGTTCTCCAATTCATGATAATCCTGTTCCTCCATTTATCTCCCCATCCCAGTTCTCCATTTCATGATAATCCTGAACCTCCATTTCTCTCCTCATCCCAGTTCTCCATTTCATGCTCATCTTGTTCCTCCATTTATCTCCTCATCCCAGTTCTCCATTTCATGATAATCCTGTTCCTCCATTTCTCTTCTCATCCCAGTTCTCCATTTCATACTCATCCTGTTCCTCCCTTTCTCTTCTCATCCCAGTTCTTCATTTCATGATAATCCTGTTCCTCCATTTCTCTTCTCATCCCAGTTCTCCAATTCATGCTCATCCTGTTCCTCCACTTATCTCCTCATCCCAGTTCTCCATTTAATACTCATCCTGTTCCTCCATCTCTCTCCTCATCCCAGTTCTCCATTTCTCTCCTCATCCCAGTTCTCCATTTCATGCTCATCCTGTTCCTCCATTTCTCTCCTCATCCTAGTTCTACATTTCATGCTCATCCTGTTCCTCCATTTATCTCCGCTTCCCAATTCTCCATATCATGCTCATCCTGTTCCTCCATTTCTCTTCTAATCCCACTTCTCCATTTCATACTCATCCTGTTCCTCCCCTTTCTCTTCTCATCCCAGTTCTCCATTTCATGCTCATCCTGTTCCTCCATTTCATACTCATCCTGTTCCTCCATTTCTCTTCTCATCCCAGTTCTCCAATTCATGCTCATCCTGTTCCTCCACTTATCTCCTCATCCCAGTGCTCCATTTAATACTCATCCTGTTCCTCCATTTCTCTTCTCATCCCAGTTCTCCATTTCATGCTCATCCATTTCCTCCATTTCATACTCATCCTGTTCCTCCATTTCTCTTCTCATCCCAGTTCTCCATTTCATGCTCATATTGTTCCTCCATTTATCTCCTCATCCCAGTTCTCCATTTCATGCTCATCCTGTTCCTCCATTTCTCTTCTCATCCCAGTTCTCCATTTCATGATAATCCTGTTCCTCCATTTCTCTCCTAATCCCAGTTCTCCATTTCATGCTCATCCTGTTCCTACATTTCTCTTCTTATCCCAGTTCTCCATTTCATGATAATCCTGTTCCTCCATTTCTCTTCTCATCCCAGTTCTCCATTTCATGCTTATCTTGTTCCTCCATTTATCTCCTCATCCCAGTTCTCCATTTTATGATAATCCTGTTCCTTCATTTCTCTCCTCATCCCAGTTCTCCATTTCATACTCATCCTGTTCCTCCATTTCTCTCCTCATCCCAGTTCTCCATTTCATACTCATCCTGTTCCTCCAGTTATCTCCTCGTCCGAGTTCTTCATTTCATGCTCATCCTCTTCCTCCATTTCTCTCCTTATCCCAGTTCTCCATGTCATGCTCATCCTGTTCCTCCATTTCTCTCTTATCCCAGTTTTCCATTTCCTGATAATCCTGTTTCTCCATTTTTCTCCTCATCCCAGTTCTCCATTTCATGCTCATCCTGTTCTTCCATTTCTCTCCTCATCCCAGTTCTCCATTTCATGCTCATCCTGTTCCTCCATTTCTCTTCTCATCCTGTTCCTCCATTTCTCTCCTCATCCCAGTTCTTCATTTCATGCTCATCCTGTTCCTCCATTTCTCTTCTCATCCCAGTTCTCCATTTCATGCTCATCCTGTTCCTCCATTTCTCTCCCCATCCTAGTTTTCATTTCATGATAATCCTGTTCCTCCATTTCTCTTCTCATCCCAGTTGTCCATTTCATACTCATCCTGTTCCTCCATATCTCTCCTCATTGCAGTTCTCCATTTCATGCTCATCCTGTTCCTCCATTTCTCTCCTCATCCCAATCCTTTATCCTGATTAATTCGAATCCTCAGAAACTGCAGATTAAACCTAGAGCTTGGGATGGTTTGTGGGATTATTATGATAAATATTTTAAATTTGAGGGGAAACTATCCTGTAAATATCCTCTAAATGTCTTGTAAACTATGTCGTCCAGCGTTTAAATGATATTAACATCTGTTGTCAAAACATCGTCGCCCCCCCCCCCCCGCCACGCCTTCCCCTCTCTTCCAGTCCTCAAGCTTCTAACTCTTTTCTCATCCTTCTTATGATAAAAACGTTTACTTCTTTTTCTCTCCATAGCATATTTTTCTAAAAGTATAATTGTGAGGTTAAAACCTAATTCATTTCTCTTTTTTACCCTAGAATTACCAAACTTGTCATTTCCCTTTCTCATACTTCGGTCACAAACCATTCCTTTCCCTTTCTCACCATTTGTGTTCCTTTCTCGCCCTGCAAGTGCAAACCTTTCCTTTCTTCTTTCTTACCCTTATGATTTCCTTCCTCATCCTGCAAGTGTAAACCTTTCCTGTCCCTTTCTTAACCTGCAAGTGTAACCTTTCCTGTCCCTTTCTTACCCTGCAAGTGTAACCTTTCCCGTCCCTTTCTTACCTTGCAAGTGTGAACCTTGCCTTTCCCTTTTTCATCCTGTAAGTGTAACCTTTCTTTTTCCTTCCTCACCCAGCAAGCAATCTTTCTATTTCCTTCCTCACCCAGCAAGTATAACCTTTCTATTTCCTTCCTCACCCAGCAAGTATAACCTTTCTTTTTTCCTTCCTCCCCTGCAAGTATAATCTTTATTTTTCCTTCCTCACCTGCAAGTATAATCTTTATTTTTCCTTCCTCACCTGCAAGTATAATCTTTATTTTTCCTTCCTCACCTGCAAGTGTAAATTTTTCCTTTCCCTTTTTTACCCTTATGATTTCCTTCCTCATTGTGTAAACTTTGAAAGTGTAAACCTCTCTGTCCCTGCCTCATATCCCTTCAATTAAGGTAAATTCTTGGAGTTATTTTAACTCACCCTTTTTAATAAATCCCATCAATATTGTATTGATTAATGTATGCCTTCTCACAGAGTTTCCAAAAGGATGAAAGTAAAGGATATTAGAGAAAACAAGCAAAATGATTTAACATTTTTTAAGGAAAACTTTTATTTTTTTGGAGGTTTAAGGTTAATTATTGTGTTAACTTGAATCCCAAAATGATGATGTTTTTCTTCAAATAAGTTTGTAAACCTTTGTGAAGGTTTGTGTAAACTAGTTTATAATGAAAAACAAACACAAGTAATCTGTTCTTCTTCTCTCTAGTCAGCTCTGACTTGATTTATTAATATTTTTAAATATTTATTCAAAATTATTTTATCAAACATACTTTGTAATATTTAGGAATTCAAGAAAATTCAAAATATATCATGAGACAGTAATGATATTTCTAACTGAAATTCTAACTGTTAACGTCGTATAATGATACAGGGTTCCCCACAAAGGATAAGACTTATGATTCCCTGGAATTATTAGCTTGTTTAATATTCGCCCAATCATTGAATAAGCCATAAAAAGATTACATTTAATGCCGTAGACTTCATTTAAAGAGTTTGAGGTTGTCTTTCCAGTCTCATCCTATGAGGGTAACCCTGTATAAAAGTACAGGACAGCTCGGTAAATTTTAACATATAAGATTAAAAATATTAGATAATAGGTAAACTGTTTTCAATGATAAAGGTTTAAAGTTTAACTATGTAGAATATCCCAGCTATGGAAGCTATTTTAAAGTTTTAAGTTTAAAGTTTAACTATGTAGGATATCCCAGCTATGGAAGCTATTTTAAAGATATAAGATTAAAGTTGAACTGTCTAGGATATCCCAGCTATGGAAGCTATTTTAAAGATATAAGATTAAAGTTGAACTGTCTAGGATATCCCAGCTATGGACGCTATTTTAAAGATATAAGTTTAAAGTTGAACTGTCTAGAATATCCCAGCTAAGGAAGTTATTTTAAAGATAAAAGCTTAAAGTTAAACTATCTAGGATATCCCAGCTATGGAAGCTATTTTAAAGATATAAGCTTAAAGTTGAACTGTCCAGGATATCCCCGTTATGGAAGCTATTTTAAAGATATAAGCTTAAAGTTTAACTATCTAGGATATCCTAGCTATGGAAGCTATTTTATAGATATAAGCTTAAAATTGAATTGTCTAGGATATCCTAGCTATGGAAGCTATTTTATAGATATAAGCTTAAAGTTGAACTGTCTAGGATATCCCAGCTATGGAAGCTATTTTAAAGATATAAGCTTAAAGTTGAACTATCTAGGATATCCCAGATATGGAAATGCTCATNTAGAATATCCCAGCTATGGAAGCTATTTTAAAGATATAAGCTTAAAGTTGAACTATCTAGGATATCCCAGATATGGAAGCTATTTTAAAGATATAAGTTTAAAGTTGAATTGTCTAGAATGTCCCAGCTATGGAAGTTATTTTAAAGATATAAGCTTAAAGTTGAACTGTCTAGGATATCCCAGCTATGGAAGCTATTTTAAAGATATAAGCTTAAAGTTGAACTATCCAGGATGTCCCAGCTATGGAAGCGTGTCGTGATCTCTGTCTAACAGCTCCTTACAGATGCCATTCCTTTGATTACGGAGATACAGGTAAACTAACTAATAAAGTTATTAAATAGTTAAACAATTATTTTTAAGAGAACTTATTTGCCCATCTTTATATCCTTGAATCTTAATATTAGTAATACACCTTTAATATTTTAATTATACATTCGGCTGGAGTAAAAAGTCGAAACTTTAAAAAACAAAGATTTAAGCAAAGAGTATAAGAGGAACTCGCATAGCGTTGTTTACAAATTAAGTGTACTGCAGTTTCTGAAAGGATATATACTCCTTCCATAAACTGCGGTACACAGCTTTTTAACCATACATTGTAATTTCTGGTTTACACCATATAAAGTTGCAAAGATATAAGGATTAGTAAAAATTTGAGTTTTTGGTGAGTAATCGGTAATAAAAACTCCAAATAAATGGAATTATTTTAGCTATAATACCACAACTTATTTAATCTTTAATATTTAATCTTGTTTTTCTACTCCCTGAGATATTTAATCTTGTTCGTCTGCTCTCTGAGATATTCAAACTTGTTTTTCTACTCCCTGAGATATTTAATCTTGTTTGTCTGTTCTCTGAGAAATTTAAACTTGTTTGTCTTCTCTTTGAGATATTCAAACTTGTTTGTCTTCTCTCTGAGATATTCAAACTTGTTTGTCTTCTCTCTGAGATATTAAAACTTGTTTGTCTTCTCTCTGAGATATTTAACCTTGTTTGTCTGTTCTCTGATATATTTAAACTTGTTTGTCTTCTCTCTGAGATATTTAATCTTGTTTGTCTTCTTTCTGAGATATTTAATCTTGTTTGTCTTCTCTCAGAAATATTTAAACTTGTTTATTCTCTCTTTGAGATATTTAAACTTGTTTTTCTTCTCTCTGAGATATTTAAACTTGTTTGTCTTCTCTTTGAGATATTTAAACTTGTTTGTCTTCTCTTTGAGATATTTAAACTTTTTTGTCTTCTCTCTGAGATATTTAACCTTGTTTGTCTGTTCTCTGATATATTTAAACTTGTTTGTCTTTTCTCTGCTATATTTAAACTTGTTTGTCTTCTCTCTGCTATATTTAACCTTGTTTGTCTGTTCTCTGATATATTTAACCTTGTTTGTCTTCTCTCTGCTATATTTAACCTTGTTTGTCTGTTCTCTGATATATTTAAACTTGTTTGTCTTCTCTCTGATATATTTAATCTTGTTTGTCTTCTCTCGAATATATTTAATCTTGTTTGTCCTCTCTTTGAGATATTTAAACTTGTTTGTCTGCTCTCAGAGATATTTAAACTTGTTTGTCTTCTCTTTGAGATATTTAAACTTGTTTGTCTTCTTTTTTATACTTTATATTTATATACTTTATTTATATATTTATTTATACTTTTTTTCTACTTCCTGAGGAGATATTCAATCTTGTTTGTCTGTTCTCAGAGATATTTAATCTTGTTTGTCTGTTCTCTGCGATATTTAAACTTGTTTTTTTTCTACTCCTTGAGATATTTAATCTTGTTTATCTGTTCTCAGAGATATTTAATCTTGTTTGTCTGTTCTTAGAGATATTTAATCTTGTTTGTTTGCTCTCAGAGATATTAAATCTTGCTTGTCTGTACTCTGAAATACTAAACCTTGTTTGTCTGTTCTCTGAGATATTTAAACTTGTTTTTCTACTCCCTGAGATATTTAATCTTGTTCATTTTCTCTCTGAGATATTTAAACTTGTTTCTCTACTCCCTGAGATATTTAATCTTGTTTGTCTGTTCTCTGAATTAATTCTAGAGTTTGCTGAGATATCTTTACAACTCCGACATTAAATATGACAGTTGGAATAAACAGACAAAGCACGGTTAAATTATGCATTTCATGAACTAGTCTTTTCATACTAGTTCTATTTTTACAAGTTCTAATACATTCAAAGTTTTCTTTGTAAAGTTGTATTTTGGTGTTTTTATTCAGTTTATCCCATAAATACGAATACAATGGAAGAACTTGTATAATGTCGTTTTCTAAGCCTATTTATGATCAATTCCCTCGAACATTATGCGTTTAATTTTAAAAGAATTTAGTCAATGGTGCAATTTATAAACACTTCATCGCCTGTCTTATTGTATTTATTTGTTTAATAACTGTTTTGCGTATTTATCTTGAACTAAAATAAATATTACTAATTTTTATTGATTTCACTTATCACAAAGAATCTCAAATCAAATCTTTCTCGGTTGCGCGCAGGTTTAGATGTTTTCGCAAGCAATTTGAAGCAATAATTAATTTTACTTTAATTTTACTCAAAATGGTTTCAATAAATTTTCATTCGAACAACTATTTTGTAAGATTGAAAAAAGTAAATTGTATATAACTATGATTGTTCATTAAAATTTATATTTTAGGAGATAGAGTTTGCAGATTATCTCACCATACCTCTGCTACCCTTACTCAGATTCAGGTTGGCAAAAAAATTTTCTCCGGGTGTTCCATAGCACTGTCAGAGTAAATTCTATTCCCTTGAGATCGTCCTATATATACAAATATTACATATATGACCGAGGACCGTTCGGTCTTTTTAAAACTCTGATAAAATCTAGTTAAAAGGACAAATATGTGCACTTAGTCCTTTCATTGGCCGGAATTTCGTCGGTGGTCGAAAATCCAGCTGATTAGGATCCAGCTGATTAAGATCTAGCTGATTAGGATCCAGCTGATTAGGATCCAGCTGATTAGGATCTAGCTGATTAGGATCCAGCTGATTAGGATCCAGCTGATTAGGATCTAGCTGATTAGGATCAAGAGAACAAGCCACGGCGTTCGCTTTGGTCAATGTTAAAGGATTAAGTCCTTGTCACAGAATAGTTTTAAAAAATCCAAATAGATAGAATTGTAAAATCAGAGTTTGTAGCAAAGACTCAATTCCTTTTACATTGACATTTTGTAGTGGTGTTAACCTAGAATGTGTATCATGTACAAAGAAGAGAGCAATTCCAACCTAAATGTTCTGTACAGTAAACATCTATGTACACTGTACATTGTACAATTATTAAATAATTCTCTTCAATTTGTCCTGATTCCGTGTCAAGTTTGTCTGTGTCTAGGTTAGAAAATTAGGAAATAATCGGAGCAATTACTCTTCGTAGTTTGATCTTATTTACTTCAGCCTTTTGGATTTAAAATATAAATATTTCTAGGATCCGTTTCTTGTAATTGGAGATGTGAGAGGAACCTTCGAACTCAGCTCCTGCTATAATGTAACCATTGATTGCAGGTAGAATTCGCGTCACTTCGTCCCACTTTAAACATTCCATTCACCATATATCCATGATTTTTAAAACTTTAATATTTAAATGACATCTGTATATCTGCTTCTAATCATAGTTCTAGGACCTTAGTAGCCATTAATTTAAACTAAAATTAACATATTACAGGAAACTTGAACTTTTTACCCATAAATGAAAATGAACTCCACTAAATACTAAATCAAATACAAAGTATTAACTGTACAAACGCGTCGATCAATAAGATTGGATTACTGGCTGCAAACGCTACTTTTCTTATGCCTTTAGTTTTGCAACCTTATGTTGAAAACTCTTGATATTTGAAACTTTGAATATTTGATCTATCATACTTCCTATTTTGAAATATCAAAGGTCTACAACATGTTTCATTAGAAGTAAATATTTCCATTTACTAAAAGCGCCAATTGAAAGATTCATAACTCTGATCGGATAATGAGATAGAAAGATAGATGTTACTGCCATTCTATTTCTATTGTTAAAGAATATACAACAAACACATGACTGAACCCTGATTTGATCAGGCGTTAATGGACTCGGCATACAGGAGTGAACATAAGGTTGCAAAGATATAAGGATTAGTAAATTATTATAATATGTTCCTACCCTAGGTCCTCTGATATGGTTGCTACGATTACAACCAACAAGATATTCTCTGGGAAGATTTACGCCAAGGAGAACCCAAACAGTTGTCTGGTTGATGTTGAGGTCAGGAAATAAATAAACAAACATAAAAAGTACACTGTACACTGTACACTGTACCCTGTACACTGTACACTGTACACTGTACACTGTACACTGTACACTGTACACTGTACCCTGTACACTGTACACTGTACACTGTACACTGTACACTGTACACTGTACACTGTACACTTTACACTGTACAGGGGGACCCGTAAAAAAAGACAACTTTTAGAATTATGATTTTAAAAAGTCCGAAGAAATAAATCACATTTAAATTAATTTTTGATTTGCTAAATTAATATTATTCTTCTTATTATTATAATATCTTGAATGTATTATTATTGTATTATGGTATTGTAGGGGGATATACAGTTCAGTATAACTATGGCCTACAATGATCTTGAATTTATTATTATTGTATTGTAGGGGAATATACAGTTCAGTATAACTATGATGTACAATGATCTTGAATGTATTAATATTGTATTATCGTATTGCAGGGAGATATACAGTTCAGTATAGCTATGGCGTACAATGATCTTGAATGTATTATTATTGTATTATAGTATTGTGGGGGATATACAGTTCAGTATTACTATGGCCTACAATGATCTTGAATGTATTATTATTGTATTATATTGTATTGTAGGGGGATATACAGTTCAGTATAACTATGGCGTACAATGATCTTGAATGCAACGTGAAGAGGGAAGGAGACGGAGTGTACACTAATCAGGTATAAACTGATGTATGTACGATGTACGTTGTATATGTAGTACAGAATAAGTTTAAAAAATTGAGGAAACTTTAGAATATAATAGAATTAAGTTTTTTAATCGATTTCTGAAGAAGAAATAATTTTTGCATAATTTTGCATAGTTCACTTTATTTTAATATTTTTCCATCTACAACATGAAACCTGCAAATATTGACATATTCTGTTGTTAAACAACGTTATATCGCGTTTTTTTACTGACCCTTTACATATTTAGTTAGCATTATATGAAAGCTTTAGTTGTCATTCACACTTAAAATTAGATCAGAAGTCCCTTCATTCATGTTTTTGGACTATTATAAACACTTAACAGTGACTTGAAGTTTTTTAAAAATCACGTTTTGATTTACTTTAATGAATAATTAAGAGTAAATGAAGAATACGTGTTACCATCTTGTAAACTTTCGAAAATTTATATTTTAACATCATTTAGTTTTATAAAACCAATAACATTTGAATATTAAATTTAAAAGATTAGAAACATTTTAGAAATCCCAAATGTAATACTACCGTGAGGGTGATTACTAGGATCAAATCTATTTAAAAGGGGTAAAAGTCTATCATGCACCATGTACTTTTGCCGAGATAACACCGCGAATTATAATTCTAAAATTTGTTATGCATAGTCAATTATCTGATTTAATCTACTATAAGCTTCGTAAAGTTTAAGTATCGTCATATATTCTATATTTTACTAAATTTAAACTTTAAAATACTTTGCACAAAAAAATGAAAAAAAAACAATTAATTTTCATCTTTTTATCTGATTTATTATATTTTGTTATATTTAGGTTATTATCCAGCACCATGACAGTGTAGTGACCAGCTCCGACCTAGGTTTAGCTCTGCATTGTCAATATGATCTAGGAAACAAAACTGTAAGTAACGGACTAGACCTGGAGGTGAAGGGTGAGATCCAACCCGCCCTAGTGGAGGAGGGGAAGGTGGAGTCCCCAACCGTCATCATGAGCGTGACTGCCCGGGGAGGAGGGCAGGTCAAGCAGGCTGCTGTGGGAGATCCGTTAGAACTACATTTCTCAATCCTTGATCAGGATTCTCCCTACGAGATATTTGTCCGAGAGCTGGTTGCTAAAGACGGAAATGATCAGAATGAGATAGTTCTACTTGACAGTGTAGGTTGCCCCACCGAGGGAAGGATCCTGGGTCCACTAGGCATGGAATCTGATAGACCTAAATCCTTAATGGCAAGGTTCGATGCTTTCAAGTTTCCAACTAGCGAGGTTGTTCAGTTTCGAGCTCTTGTTACTCCCTGTATGCCGAAATGTAAACCGGTAGAGTGTGTTTATCAAGATTATTTCGGCGGAGACAAAACTAGGATTAGTTCCTACGGAAGGCGGAGGAGAGATATAAGTTTGGCGGAGAATCCGTTGACAAGATGGCGGGATAGCTCCAGGTTTCGGCGGAGTCAGGCCGGGTTGTCTCTCTCCGACGACGTGCTTGTTACGCATGCTTTTGTGATCACGGATAAGTTTGCGAAAAAGGAAACAGATCGTGGGAGGAATGATGTAGAGAAATCAAGTAACCTGAACAAGATCACGGAAAACTATTATGACAAGGATTCACTTTCCTTCTCCGGAGAAACAAAAACCGAATCCTTCGATCCTGCCGGACTAGAGGTTTGTTTAAACCTGACTGGACTTATTGTTGGAGTAGGACTGTTCCTGTTTATCCAGCTAGTTCTTGTATTTGCCTGGACCCACTTCTGGCAGTCAAGGCAGAGGAAAAAGGGAAACTTACCCTTTAACTAGATCTATCTTTACATTAACCAAATCTTACCGTTTAACTAGATCTATCTTTACATTTACCAAATCTTACCCTTTAACTAGATCTATCTTTACATTAACCAAATCTTACAATGGTTAGGAAACTCGCCACAAACCAACTCCTTTATCTTTTCACCCTGATGGTGTAAACCTTTATATTTTAAACTTAGACTAATTGATATAACAGATTTTCTGTCTTGAAATATCACAGGCCCAAAACAAAATTAGGTTAAAAAGATATATGGATTAAAAACTGTTATTTGTGGCGAGCAGTCTTATATTGTTTAGAATATCCCCCTTTACTCTTATTGACAGTTATTAATGTAAATTATTTATTTTCCAAGCGGAAAATTTGCCTAATCTAATGCAACAAATTGATCCACTGAATATGAAAATTATCATTTTTCCACCGAAAATTTGAATCTCAGACTAATGGTTTCCTACGACTATGTTTACTACGAGCTTCCAAGTTTAACTAACTAACGATTAGTTTCTACTAGTTATTTGCAAAAAAAAACAGAAATTTATAAAATGACGAAACTTGCTAAAAATGTAAAATAAGTGTGATATAGTGATAACCATGAGACAATCTATCAATAGCTTAGAATTCTGTAATCCTTAGATCATTTAATCCTAGAATTCTGAAATCCTAGGATTCTGCTTCCTAGAATCCTTTAATCCTAGAATTCTGTAATCCTAGAATTCTGTTATCCTAGACTTCTGTTATCCTAGAATTCTGAAATCATAGAATCCTAGAACCCTGAAATCCACAATTATGTTATCCTAGAATCCTAGAATCCTAGAATCCTAGAATCCTAGAATCCTGGAATCCTAGAATCCTAGAATCCTAGAATGCAAGAATCCTAGAATGCAAGAATCCTAGAATTTAAGAATCCTAGAATCCTAGAATCCTTGAACCCTGTAGTCCTAGAATCCTGTAATTCTAGAACCCTGTAATCCTTAAATCCTGCAATCCTGTAATCCTTAAATCCTGTAACCCTGTAATCCTGTAATCCTAAAATACTGTATAATCCTAGAATTCTGTAGGGATGGGAAAATATCTTCAATATCGTGGATTCGGGGAGCTTCAAGATATTGTAGTTTTTCATAAGATTTTCCTAAAAGTAGTTCGCTTAAAAAGTGGAGAATATGATTATGAAGTTATAAGTTTGATTTCTTCTTTCTTGCTTTCATCAAATTCAAAATCTATAAAACAGCATCTGATTGTATCTACTTTAATTTGAACAGCATTAAAAATAAAAATAAAAATAGCATTAACTTAATTAACATGAAATATTTGTTCACTCAGGACAAAGTATTATAAACTCAAAAATATCTGATGCTGTAACAACAGGTGTTTTTTCTTCACTTTTTATAATCCAAATAATTCTAAAGGTAACGGAAAGAATTGAGTTTTTACCAGAACTGAATTTTTAACCCCTTTATTTTTGCCAACCAATGTCGTAGACCTTAGGTATTTTAAACTGTATCAAATAATCTAAGTTCGAAATATTAAAAGTATAGTTCATCAGGTGGAAAAGATATGAAGGAAAACTACAATATTTTAAGGCCGATGTTGACCTAACTACCTAACCCTTAGTGCTTTATCAATTCAATTGTAATTTGTCTTCCAAGCATAGCAAGTTATATTAGATTTGTTTCTTATATAAAATAGAACTAAATATCCTATTGTGTATGTTTATATTATGTAATAAATGTTTAAATGGATATGGTATGAAGTTATAAGAAAAGTGAAGAAGTTTGAGTGCTCTGGTGCTTGACGTTTTTAGATCATAAAGAAAACTCCGTGGGGGTTGGAGGGGGTGGGGGGGTGAAAAAAGTCCCTGGGTTAAAGTTAATCGCAATCATCAGAAAATACAAATTTAAAATGAAAACATTAAAAACGATATTATTTCACGGTCAAACTGTTTAAAAAGATTCTTTTTTGGATTTTCTTACAAATGGATAGTTTCGAATAAACCAGAAACTACCCGTTTCTTTAGAAATTTTGAAAAGCTCTATATCTAATAGCCAAGCTGAATGTATCCTGCTATAAAAAGAGTTTGGTTCATATAAACATATTCTGATATATAAATATATACTGATATATAAATATATTCTAAAATATAAATATATCTTGATATATAAATGTGTTCTGATATATAAATATATCATGATATGTTAATATATACTGATATATAAATGTATTCTAATATATAAATATATACTGATATGTAAATATATCATGAGATATAATTATATCCTGATAAATAAGCATATACTGATATATAAATATATACTGATATATAAATATATCCTGATATATAAACATATCCTGATTTATAAATATACTGATATATAAATATATCCTGATATATGAATATATACTGATATGTAAATATATTTTGATATATAAATGTATTCTAATATATAAATATATCCTGATATGTAATTATATCCTGATATATAAATATACTGATATATAAATATATCCTGATATATGAATATATACTAATATGTAAATATATTTTGATATATAAATGTATTCTGATATATAAATATATCCTGATATATAAAATATACTGATATATAAATATGTCCTGATATATAAATATACTGATATATAAATATATCCTGATATATAAATATATTATGATATATAAACATATACTGATGTATAAATATATCCTGAGCCCGCGGTTTAAAAACTTCGGCTCGAGCCGTAATTCCTTAAACCCGACTTTAAGACCCGATCTTCGACCCAACTCTGACAACAGCTTGTGTCACGTGATTGACAGCTGCAAGATCTTCGGCTCGACTTAGGGAGTTAGGCTCAATGAAAATAAAACCAACCTTCGTTGGTTTTAGTGGAGAATAAGGCTCAATGTTGAGTCTTGTTCTCATAAAATCCCGGAATGCGCCAATTTCAACCGTGAAAATCCGACAAATAGAATATTAAACCTGTTTTTTGAACTCAACTGTTTGGAAAATAAGATGCATCTTGAATCCGAAAGCTCTAGTCGTAAATAAGATATATCCTGATATATAAATATTAAAAACTAAAGTTATGTGGGAAGAAAATGCTTTTTCTTTAAGATATGTTCTGCAGAGATCTATATTTTAAGGTGCAGTGGAAGAATTGGTATTTCTAGACTATTTTACATTCAAATATGTTTGAATCTGCATGAAAAACGGTTGCAGGAATAAATAAATAAATAAAATGGTCAACCATCATCCCATGGGAGTCAGGGTTAAGCTCTCATCAAACCGTAAATATTTAATATACATTTGCTGTCTGTTTCTCTAATTATATAATCCCTATATTTTTGTAAACCAAAGAATCTATGAATTCTGTTTGATCAAATAATCTGAGTTTGAAGTAAACCTGAAGTTAACACAAGTTCAAACCATTAAGTTGAACAGATATAGAGATTAGAAAACTTAAGAATGTTGCAAAGACGCATTTCCTTTAAATAACTAACTAAAAAAAAATTTAGGAAATAATCAAGCAAGGTTTTGATGAGATTTCAATTCAACATGAATATCTGAATATTATTGAGGAAATTGTTTACGGGACTTTCAACAATATGTTTTTTTACATTTTTTTTTACTTTTTAACCAGATTTTTAAAAAAACGATTATACGTTTTAATTCTTACATTTCTGGTTGTTATGTATGACAGGATACAAGTGTGAGGGATAAGTTTAGGATCTAGAACTTTTCCACACAAACAATAATAAATAAACATGGATTCTACCTTCAAGAACTAAATAAATAAATTTGATGAAATATGTTGAATATCTATTTATAAATTTACCTTGTCTGTCTGTCTCTTTGTTTGGGTGTCTGTTTGTTTGTATTCAATAAACGTCCAAACGGCTGAACTAATCAGGCCCAAATTTTGTGTGGGACCTCACGTAGCTCCAAGGAAGATGTATGACCAATCAGACTTTAAATATGTAATCTTAAAATATTCGTATCTTAAATTATTTGATTTTGTAAAATTTTGAAAATGCGCGAAAAAATATTTTGAAATCCGCAAATTAAAAAAAAAATGTTTATACTGTACAAAGAGAAGATGCTCACAGAGAAAGCCAAAATTAAAAGTTTAAAAAGAATATGTTCTCTTGTGTACATCGTAAAACAAAACAAAAAAATTTCGCGGATTTTAACAAAAAATTTCTTAAATTTTCAAATCAAATTTTGATGATGACAAATATATGAAATTTTGATCATTCATAAACCTTCCCTGGGGCCGCGTGAGGTCTCACACAAAATTTTCGCTTGATCGGTTCAGCCGTTTTGACGTTTGGATACAAACACAAAGACACCCAAAGCTAAGTTTATAGATTTCACTGTGTATCAACTATTCAGGCCTACTGCAGGGGGTTGAAGGTTATGAAGGATGTCAAAACAAAGAAAATTTTACGTTAAATCCGACATGTTGTCCATCAAAATAGTGTTGCATTTCTAATATGCCACAGAATAAACTTGATTTTCTCATACTTGGCGTAAAACCAAAACAAGAGTAGCCACGACATCACATAAGTCTTTCTAATAATTACCCATAAATTTTCTATTCCTTAAAGGGAGTGTTCGTGAAAAGAAATATTGAGACGAATCGATAGGAAAATGTCCCCGAAGAACCTCTGATGAAATTGTTACTATCATATCATATCATATCATACAGCTAGGGATGCGTCCAACAGCTCCTTGACCTACAAGGGGTATGCCATCACAATCCCCTATAGGTGAAGGCTTTTCAGCCTGACATAGTTTAAATCCTAACGTCGGACACACGACCAAATTTGAGCCATGTCACCGGTCTGATTCCTATTGTCAGCTAGTTGCCAAACAGTTGTATTAAATACATATTTAAATGCTGACAGAGAGAATCTCCCTCCCGGTTAACTGAGTGTTTAAAAAGGGTATTCATGAGTTGAAACGAATAATTTTAAAATGAATTGATAAATAAGCTTATAATAAGTTATTGAGATATAGAGAAGTGATTCATAAAATGAACCGACAAATAGATTATATGATAAATTTAAAATTATATAGAGAGTGGGATTCATTAGATGAATCGACAAAGAAATTATATGAAGGGATTCATAAAATGAATCGACAAAGAAATTATATGAAGGGATTCATAAAATGAATCGATCGTTTTCTACAAACCTTAACTTCTCATCTAGTGAGCGTCTTTCCATTTGGATATGTATATACTTTTGTGGCAATGAGTTTTACAAGCAAGAGTTTGTCAAGTGATTCCTCCTGCGTCAGCTCCTGTACACGAACAAGCGTCTTGTCGCTGCCGATCAGAGAGTCAAGATCTTTTCCATGCAGGAGAGTCACGCATGTTATCATCTTATCCGTTTCAACCATTTTGTTTCATTTTAACTCGTTTGGAAAGTTTTCAAATTAGATTAAATATATTCCAATAAAAGAAATCCGCAATATTTTTGCCAAGTTTTTCAAAAAGTTTTTATATCATTTTTGTTATTGTTTAAAAATTCAGTTTTGGAGCATTTCATATCTATGCGAATGTTCCGTTGTAAAATAACATTTCATTCTTAGTTTGTTTGTGGCTTTAAAAATAAAATAATAAATTGTTGGTTTAACTCTCTTTATGTCTAAAAGATGTCGCTAAATTACGGAACTCCTCCTGAGATTATGAACATCATCTTTATTATTATATTTATCTAATATATCATAATAAATGTCCCAAAAGTAAGAAAATAAGAAATCTTCCTTTATTTCTAAATTATTTAAATATTCTAGTGTTTAATATTGTTTTTTAATCCGCCCTTTTTTGCTCACATCATATTGCTAAAAATTTCGCGGATTTTTCTGTTTCAATTGATAGATTTCAAATTTTTTAATCAACATTTTTTCCAGACAACATTTTTAGATTAGACAAATTTAATTAGAGTAATTGATATGCAATTTTGCCAATAAATGCTTATTTCCTAATAGAAAAATAAATGAACTTGAAATAGTAAATGACACTGTTTATTTCGATGGTCATTTCAAATCACTTTAAAACCCCTCTGATCTAATGATCAAAGTTTTGAAATACCATAGGTCCATATTACCATATATTGCAAATATTAGAGGAGCGGTAACCAATACCTGCACCATGATTTACCCAGAAAACCCTCTGCATACCAGAAAAAAATGTATACTAATTGAACATAGTTAGAATATAAATAATACAAAGTACAAAGTATTCTGAGTATGATCTTGAGGATTTGAGGAAAAATAGTTTTTAATTTCTAATATGCAACAGAATAAACTCGGGCGTAAAATCAAATTTAGAGGATCTACGGGGTCACAAAGTCTTTCTAGTAATTTTGCATACATTTTTCTTATTTATAAAACGATCGAGTCTTCGTGAAAAAGTGAAAGAAGATAGAGTTTAATTGAAAATTGGCCCCAAAGAACTGAAATTGAAATTGTTTTTATAAAGGAAAAACTTCCAAACTAAATAGAATACAGAAACATAATACTCAATACAAACTACACAGTATTCTTAGTATGATCTTGAGGATTAAAAACCCTGAGCTCAGTATATATTATTCAGTAAGGTACCCTAAGCTTGCTCTAGTACACACACAGTAAGGTACCCGGATGAAAGTGTAGATAATCCTAGAACTATTCATTGGGACGGAGTTAATAGGTGAGAATTCTCAAATCTTCTTCATTGTTCAACTTAATCTTCTCAATCTCACTTCCTGTTTATACATCCTAATATCCTTATTCTCTAGTTCATCCAGAGTATTCTCATCCTTATATCCTTATTCTCTAATTCATCCAGAGTATTCTCATCCTTATTCTCTAATAAATCTATAGTATTCTCATCCTTATATCCTTATTCTCTAGTTCATCCAGAGTATTCTCATCTTTATATCCTTATTCTCTAATTCATCCAGAGCATTCTCATCCTTATATCCTTATTCTCTAATGCATCCAGAGTATTCTCATCCTTATATCCTTATCCTCTAATTCATCCAGAGTATTCTCATCCTTTTATCCTTATTCTCTAATACATCTAGAGTATTCTCATCCTTGTATCCTTATTCTCTATTTATCTAGAGTATTCTCATCCTTGTATCCTTATTCTCTAGTTCATCTAGAGTATTCTCATCCTTATATCCTTATTCTCTAATTCATCCATAGTATTCTCATCCTTATTTCCTTATTCTCTAGGTCATCCAGAGTATTCTTATCCTTATTTCCTTATTCTCTAATACATATAGAGTATTCTCATCCTTGTATCCTTATTCTCTCGTTCATCTAGAGTATTCTCATCCTTGTATCCTTATTTTCTAATTCATCCAGAGTATTCTCATCTTTATATCCTTATTCTCTAATTCATTCAGAGTATTCTCATCTTTAAATCCTTATTCTCTAATTCATCCAGAGTATTCTCATCCTTATATCCTTATTATCTAATTCATCCAGAGTATTCTCATCCTTATATCCTTATTCTCTAATTCATCCAGAGTATTCTCATCCTTATATCCTTATTCTCTAATTCATTCAGAGTATTCTCATCTTTATATCCTTATTCTCTAGTTCATCCAGAGTATTCTCATCCTTATATACTTATTCTCTAATACATCTAGAGTATTCTCATCCTTATATCCCTTTATTCTCTTATTAATCCAGGATATTCTCATCCTTATATCCTTATTCTGTAATTCATCCAGGATATTACATCCTTATATCCGGCTCAAATTTTAATCACCCTTTCAAAGTTAAAGATTCGTGTGAGTAGGCCTAATAGGTTTAGTATGTAAGTAGTAGGCCTCATCTAATGAATTAGGAATTATTATGTTATTAGGTCTAATCTAATGAATATAATCTACACCAGGCTAGTATGTACTGTGTGAGTAGGCCTAATCTAATGAATATAACCTACTCCAGGCTAGTATCTGAGTAGGCCTAATCTAATGAATGTAACCTACACCAGTCTAGTATGTGAGTAGGCCTAATCTAATGAATATAACCTACTCCAGGCTAGTATGTGAGTAGGCCTAAACTAATGAATGTAACCTACTCCAGGCTAGTATGTGAGTAGGCCTAAGCTAATGAATATAACCTACTCCAGGCTAACTTCTTCTTTAATCCTTCTTCCTTTTTCTTTATCCTTCTCCCTTTTTCTTTGAACTTCTCCCTTCTTCTTTATCCTTCTTCCTTTCTCTTTGTCTTTTTTCCTTTTTCTTTGAACTTCTCCCTTTTTCTATGTCCTTCTCCCTTTTTCTTTGACCTTTTTTCTTTTCTTTGTCCTTTTCCCTTTTTCTTTGTCCTTCTCCCTTTTTCTTTGAACTTCTTTCTTATCTTTGCCCTTCTCCCTTTTTCTTTGTCCTTTTCCCTTTTTCTTCGTCCTTCTCCCATTTTCTTTGATCTTTTCCCTTTTTCTTTGTCCTTCTCCCTTTTTCTTTGACCTTTTCATTAATTTTTTGTTTTCATCCTTTCCTTCTCCCGTTTTCTTTGTTCTTTTCACCTTTTTTTTGCCCTTCTCAGCCATTTTTTGCTTTCATTCTTTCCATTGTCCTTTAATTATTTGTTCTTTTCATTTATTTTGACTCATCTTTTTCTTCGTGTCTTAGTCTTTATTTCCTTTTTCACTTTCTTTCGTAAAATATTCTTGCAATTAAATGTATATCTTTCTAACCATACTTCATTTTGTTTTTTTCAACAATTTTTTATCGATTTCTTTATTTTCGAAAATTTAAGAAGTTGAAAAAGTTTATTGTAATCAAAGATTAGAATCACAATTTAACCCTATTTAGTCTGGAGGGGGGGTCAAATTGACCCCCCCCCCCCTATCGTGTATTTGAGCTAGCAAGCTCAAATTTTCTGGCTTTTCTAACTAACTTATGCCCCAAACATAAGTTTAAAAGCTGGGCTTTTATACCTGCTGCCTGAATCCTTAGGCATACTGCCTTATTTTACCTTCACCAGACTAAATCTATATTTAGACCTACTTCCAATCATTGGTTTTCAACATTTTACGGCTCTTTGGAAAGCCTTTAACCAAAGCAAGCAGATTGCACAAATTTTGCAAATAAATTTTGCGCAGTTTTTTGCACAGACGACTTAATGGGAATTTGCTCTTTTTCAGTTTTTCTTGAATACACAATTAGGTTTTAAAAATTTTAAAAATGTTTTTGCATATTTGAATTTGCTGGGCCAAGGGCTTTTTAAAAATGTATAATTGCTGTAATTTGTGCATTTTTGTGTGCACATTTTTTGCTGAATAACTAGATTTCACAATAATTATTTGGATTTATGCAAATTTGCAATTTTTTTGCAGATTATTGAGGTAGAGCCTAGGGGCTTTCCAAAAACGTATCAAATGTTATAGGTTTGTATCACAACAAGAAAATAAGAAAATTTGACCCCCCCTCCTCCCCCCAGCAGCCAGTTAGTAAACTAAACATCAGGCTAATAGGGTTAACACTGATCGATACATGCAGTAATGGTTTTAATCTTAACACAATCTATAAATTTGAATTATAAAAGTCACGTCAGAGTTATAACCTGTACTGTAAGGCATTATAACAAGCATTAGGATGTATAACGAAATTATTTTAACTGTCTTAAATAATATGATGTAAAATGAAATTGTTTAAATTGTGTTAAATTTTTTGATACGTTTTTGTAAACTATTATCAAGAGGAACCGTGAGAATATATTATTGTAACTTTCCGTGATCTTTGACGATGGATTAAGTTTGTGCTATAACCCCTGGCCTGGGCCGGGCTGTTGTCGGTCAGGTTTACTTTGATTGACAGGTCGGTCACGTGTCGACGGTCACTTTAATTCCTAGGGGTATATAATGTAGGAGCCGGCTTGGAATGGTATAGTCACTTATACGTTGTCTAACAATATGGAGTTTAAAGTTTTTATCTTTATCCTTCTCCAGGTCCTACTGGAAACTAGTGCTAGACCCAAGCAATTCTTCTCCCCTATTAACGAATTCCTGCAGAGTATTCAGAACGAGGAAGGAGTAAACCTACAGTTTAAACCACGTGGATCAGACGAACCAGAAGAAACCACTGAAAAAGATTCAGGTTCGGATGCATCCTTGCTTCTCTTCGGAATGATCTGCAGGGTTGAGTGTGGAACTGAGGACTGTATCCAGGAGTGTACTGAATGTGTGGATGGAGTTTGTACTCTTACTCGTGAGACATTTCTCAGAGAATCCCTTTCATTCGAATCCCAAGTAGTTGATTCTACAACCGTTACACCTACTTTGACTACCCATGAAGCATCTAAAGAAGAACCTACAGATGAATCTACTACAGTATCAGAAACAACTACAGTTGAAGCATCCACCACTAAAGCTGAAGATATATCCCCAAAGCAGATAGTTTCGTTGTTTAAATCATCTAGAACAACTAGCACAACAACCACAGTAATCCATGATGATTTGGTTGAACTTACATCCTCAACCTCGACTCTTTTTTCTTCACCTTCAAAATTTGTGGAAGAAACATCTGATGCCACAACTACCAAAACTTCTTCTCCAGAAGCAACATCTTTCGAATCCTACTCTTCACAAGCATCATCTACTGGATCCTTCTCTGCTGAAGCTTCATCAACCAAATCTTCCACCACTGAAGAAGTATTAACAACAGAATCTTTCACTGAAGAAGCTACATCTACAGAATTTCCCACCGAAGAAGCTGATTCTTTGACTCTGGAAGCTGCATCTACCGTTTCTTATACAAAAGATATATCATCTACTGAATCTTCCACAGAAGTAGTATCATATGCTGAACATTCTACAGAAGAAGCTTCATCTGCTGAACATTCTACAGAAGAAGCTTCATCTGCTGAACATTCTACAGAAGAAGCTACATCTGCTGAACATTCTACAGAAGAAGCTTCATCTGCTGAACATTCTACAGAAGAAGCTACATCTGCTGAATCTTCTACTGAAGAAGCTACTTCTCCCCAATCTACAACTACTTCTACCCGTGCTCCTCTTCTAAGATGGCCTAAACGATTTCAGTAGCAGTCTTATAAAATATTGATCCTTTTCCAAATATTTATATTTTAATAAAGGTATAATTGAAAACTATCGATTTTTGGTAATTCAGATTTTGAAGAAGGATAAAATTCTGTGATAAAATATGGAACTGTGACAAGTTTAATAGGAATGGATTATATATGTTAAAACTTCTTTAGACAAACCCATTTAACTATACTTGTTATATCAAAATAAAGCAAAGTACGCATTTAGGGGTTTTGCGCGCTTTTATAAGTGATTAAAAACTTAGGAATCTTACTATTATTTATACCAATAATTGAATACTTGAATCCACTTTATGGGGAAACAGGAATCGGATTTGATAAAATGAATAGTAAAATTTTCTAAAGATATTGAGCCTTCGCTACAATCTCAAATTTTCTAATCCCTTTACCTTTGCAACCTGTTAGTGTAAACATGTGATATTTCAAATTTAGATTATTTGATCTATCAGAATTCATATTTGAAATATCTAATGTCGAATTCGGTTACAAAGATATAGGGATAAGAAAATCAGAGTTTGCGGCAAAGACTCAATTTTTCTCTATCAAATACCTCGTTTTAATTCCGTGGGTTTTCAACGATTACTCCTTTTTTCCTATCTTTATTATCTATGGACTGAGAATAACTATAAATGTTTATCTCTAGTGTAAAAATATATTGTCATGTTATCCATAAACCCTTCAACATGCGCGGATATTGTTTATTACGGAGAAAATTCAAGAAAACGTGACCAATGACAGCAGTCTACACTCTAAACCAACTGTTATTTATGTTAAAGAACGAAAAGAAAATTTAATGAATAACTTGACATTTTTCTTGTTTAAAGGGTTAGATTAGATTACTAGATTAGACTCAACACTTTTTACAAGAAGTTTTAATAAATGCAGATTTTTTGCGAAAAGCTTTTTTTTGTATATCCCACTTTCAAGTGCTCTCAAAAGTGCATTCTCTAAAATTCCTCATGTGTTTTTCCATTTCATCCCTGTTTTCCTAAATGAAATAATCAAAGAATTGAGTCTTTGCCACAAACTCAAAGATTTATATGGGATGCTTAAATTATTTGATCAAAAAAAGAAGTCATACTTCGAAATATCTAAGGTCTAGGACACTCTGTTGCAAAGATATGTGGATTAGAAAAGTTTGTGGCAAAGACTCAATGTCAATTCTTTCTACGTCTTCATAAGTACGTCTTTTCCATCAGAGAGAGTGGATAAATGTTTCCAAGTTAACAGGAAGTAACCCCCCCCCCCCCGTTTTTAAATTCAAATAAAAAAATAATGCTTGATCTTTATTAGATAGGAAAATGATTGATTGATGAAAAAAATTTAAAACAGTGTTTTTAGCATTTTCTCCTCCACTCTCTAAATAACATAATTAAACCCCGTCTTATATCATTTATCTTGTAAAGCATTTGGTGGGAAAGAAGAAGCGACTGAACCTATATTTTACAAATATTTCATAATATTTTCAGTATCTACTCATTTGGAAAATCTTATATCGCAAAACATTGCAAAAATTTCTTAAAATCGATGAAGAAATCACGCTTATCAATTTATATTGATTACAATAAAATCTGAAACTAGGGATATAAATTATCGTTGACACCTTTGCAAAAATAGTGGTTCAGTGAGAAACTTTGGTTGCTCCGAGCACAATTCTAACCAGAGAGAGGAGAACTAGAGATTAGGACAATTTACTAGTTTCAGGACATTTGGTGGGAACCTAGAGGTGTATCCAGGGATACTGGAGATTTATCCAGGAATACTGGAGATTTATCCAGGAATACTGGAAATTTATCCAGGAATACTGGAGACGCATCCAGGGATACTAGATATTCTTCCAGGGATACTGGAAATTCATCCAGGGAGACTGGAGATACATCCAGGAATACTGTAGATACATCCAGGGATACTGGAGATACATCCAGGGATACTGAAGATGCATCCAGGGATACTAGAGATTCATCCAGGGATACTGGAGAGTGGAGATACATCCAGAGAAATTGGAGATTCATCCAGGGATACTGGAAACTCATCCAGGGATACTGAAGATTCATCCAGGGATACTGGAGATTCATCCAGGGATACTGGAGATTCATCCAGGGATACTGGAGATACATCCAGGGATACTGGAGATACATCCAGGGATGCTGGAAATTTATCCAGGGATACTGGAGATACATCCAGGGATTACTGGAGATTCATCCAGGAATACTGGAGATTCATCAAGGGATACTGGAGATACATCCAGGAATAGTGGAGATTCATCCAGGGATACTGGAGATTCATCCAGGGATACTGGAGATACATCCAGGGATACTGGAGATTCATCCAGGAATACTGAAGATATATCCAAGGATACCATACTGATTATCAACCTACTGTATACTGATTATCAACCTACAGTATACTGATTATCAACCTACACTATAATGATAATTAATCACCAGGATCCTGATTGACAACTCTACAAAGGAAAACTTCTGAATGGATTCTCTGCAAAAAGCCCAGGTTCGTTAGTATTTTGTACTCACGAGGAATTTTTATACAATCATTACGTAAGAGAGTAATATAGTTTTACTATTATAGAGAGTAAAATGATTACAGTACACGAATATTATACAGAGTACAGAGGATTATAGAGAGTACTGCAGTGTACTATAAAGAGGACAGTGAATTACAGAGAGTACAGAGGATTATAGAGAGTACAGAGGATTACAGAGAGTACAGAGGATTATAGAGAGTACAGAGGATTAGGAGAGTAAAGAGGATAATAGAGAGTATACAGTGGCTGTTATATTATTCTTGTTAAAGAACATTTCTGTTTTAATGATTAATTGGGACTGAAAGGGGGACAGGGAAGAGGGAAGGGAGACTGCATAATTTCTCGTTAAGAAATCATAAAAATCTCTCGATCTGAGATGCTATATCATTACCCCTCCCCCCCATTCATCTAATGAATCTACTATAGACTATGATTATGATAGGATGATGAATCTCTGAATCTACGGATCGTGTTCAGCAACAGGAAATCCGTCAATTTCTTCTCCTCTAAACTGTACACAGTGAATATATACTGTTGTTATATCCGTTATCTTTCAGTTTTCACAACTCATATTCATTTTATGAAGTGGAGGGAGGCAGGAGGGGATTACTAAAATCTTAAGTCATTTTGGTCATTGCATATTTGCATGAATCCCCAGAAATCAAAATAATGTTTGTGTTTAAGCTACAATTTCACGATGTTATAAAATATTCTTTCAATCTTTTATAAGCAAGTAATGACTACATTTTTTATCCATATTCAGTGTTGCCCAAAGACGACTGTAAGGAATTTATACTGTCTGTTTCCTTATGTTCGAACGATTCTCCATAATTTTCTGCCAATTCATTAAATAAATTAGTCATTACAAGGTAATATGTCAGGCGAAAGACTTAATTTTACTCAGGGATCGTTTGTTTATTAGAGTTTCAGGTCGTCTATACAGTTTCATTCTTTGTGGGAAATCATAGATAATAATCCCATATTTATAAGAGTATTAAAAGTATCGAATACAAGAAAAATTCACCCGATTATTAATCGCAATATTATGATTCCTGGGATGAACTGTTATTTTATTGTTCCGAGGCAAATAGGTAAAACCAAGAATGTAATGCAAGGAAAGTTAATTGCGGTCGCGTATACTCTGCGTACATATTGAAACCAGTTCTCTCTGGGCGGAATTTGTAAACAAGAATAGATGCATCAGTTTTCGTTTGGTATCCGAGGAGGTTAAAAGCATTAAATTTTGATAATTTTGATAATCGACATAATAATTTCCTATGACCAGAATATTTCATTGATTTTGAAAGATAGATCCCATGTCAGTCTTCGACATCCGTCTTGTGTTTACATTAGCGCCCAAGAGACAGTACACTGCAGTACAAAAGATGTGTACACTTCTGAAATAACTTTCCTTGCATTACATCCTTGGGTAAAACATTGTCTTGGTAAACCGACAATGGTCGGAACTTTTCTTTTTTTAAATCGTTAAGAAACCACTAAAACTTATAAAGTGTATGGCATAGATTAATTATAATAACAGATAGGATACTAGATGTCGTCTTTTCAAGATTTGGATGAAATTTCTTCACCATAACCCTGAGACAGAAGCCCAGAGGAGTTTCGCGCAGTCGGCGAAGAACAGGCTCTCTCCGTCTTGAAAGTCTACGCCGACTGGGCGATACTCCTCTTGGCTTCTGCTTCAGGGTCATTTTGAACAAGTTTTAACCAAATCTTGAAAATACGACATCTAGTGTCCTTTCCGATATTTTCTTAACCTAAGTTTATGGTTTGACCTGTTAGTTTTATCCTTTGAAAATTAGCAATCAGCAATCAACAGCCTCAAAAATCTGATTTTAACTGGGATCTGAAATTTTGTGTGGATATACTTAAATTTGAACGTTTGATCTTGATATATTGTGTGCACTTTTAGATTTGAGGATCAATGCTTGATTCCTTAATTAAAGATATCCCTGCTGTGAATGACCACACAGGATATCTAAGAGGAATTAATCTGTAGAACTGGATAAAGAGCACTGAGCACTGCTGGATTCCTTAACTAAAGATATTCCTGCTGGGAGTGACCACACAGGATATCTAAGAGGAATTTATCTGTAGAACTGGATAAAGAGCACTGAGCACTGCTGGATTCCTTAATTAAAGATATCCCTGCTGTGAATGACCACACAGGATATCTAAGAGGAATTTATCTGTAGAACTGGATAAAGAGCACTGAGCACTGCTGGATTCCTTAATTAAAGATATTCCTGCTGGGAGTGATCACACAGGATATCTAAGAGGAATTTATCTGTAGAACTGGATAAAGAGCACTGAGCACTGCTGGATTCCTTAATTAAAGATATTCCTGCTGGGAGTGATCACACAGGATATCTAAGAGGAATTAATCTGTAGAACTGGACTGAGCACTGCTTGATTCTAATATTTACAGCACAAAAGTTCTGACTTCTAAATAAATTAAAAGTTCAACTAAAAATCTTGGACAAAACATGGGGAAAAAAACTTAAATCTAAACCTCAAACAAACTAGAAGGGTAAATAAAAGATGATAAAGCCTAGAAAATATAAAAAAGAATATTGTTGGTACATTGTTTTTCTTTGTTAGTTATTGTTTATTTCTTTCTATGAACATTTTAAAAAATAACAAACTTTTCATTTTAAAAAAATTGATTTCTCGCGAGCTGAAAACGAAATAATAAAATTTAAGTTCTTGTTCAGTATTTCTTATTAAAAATACTCTAATCCGTGATATTCCATGGTGTCTAGTTTTTCTTCTGTTTTGTACTTCCTCTGTATGTTAGGGTGAATGTGTAGAAAACACAACCTAGAGTTGATATAATTGATGTTGCAAGCAAATACAGCGAGTAATTTGAATGTCGTCTTCCACAGACGGTATACCAACTTGTAGAGGCTTCAGAACAGTCTACCCCAACCTTCCCACACACGTCTTCACAATCAAAGCTGAAATCCTAAAAAAAATTATTTAAGTGGGCAAATGATTTTTTTTTCCATGTAGATGGTTTAAAAATAGATTTAAGAGTCCTAATTTTATTAACTATTTATAACATATTTTGGTTTTTAGTGTGTTATAAGTTTTGGACAGAAATTTTCTCCTTATGAAGAAGGTTGAAGTCTTATTAGATTATATAAATGAGCTTTGGTAAATAAGCTTTGAAACAAATCAAAGTCAAAATATAAAGTTGATTTCAATTTTATTTTCATTTTTGAAAAAAATATTTTGGAAATATCTGAAATGTTTGAAGAAAATCCGGGAACCAATCAAAACTTTATAGCACACGAGCTATAAAGTACATCTAATTTAAATTTATATCAGGATGATTACTTTACAGCACGTTCATTATGAAATTCACGATGAAGTGAGGAAGAATGATAAAGTACACAATAGTTTCATAAAATATCTTATTTTACAATATGTTGAAAAAGGGTCAGCAGAGTTTAGAGTAACAGGTCGTACAGGTTAAATATATTTTATGTACTTAAATAATACCTGTACATGGGTTTCTCTACAAAGATAGACTTGTCTCAGGTGTCCTGAAATTTGTAAATGTGTTACGGGGACTGTCTCCTGGTAAACGTAATGTTTACCCTCCAGTTCAAGGTTCGATGCGCAACAATGTACAGTGATAACCAGAAAACTGTGGAATAGGAAGACGACATTAAAGCGATAGCGATAGATCAATTATTATGTGAAATGGGTCTGTTTACGCTGCACAATTTCTGTAAAACGTGTTCATTGGACTATTTAAAGCCAAAAATTCAGTCTAAATGTCGACTTCCTTTTCCAGAGTTTTCTGGTTATCGCTGTATGAAAAATGTCGTCTCCTAAGATAGATAGCTAAAAAACTCAAATGTCACTGACTATAGCGGCGAGAGTGACGTCATATGAGGTTTTTTTTCTATTTGTCTAAGGAAACGACATTTTTCGTACATTGTAGCGCATCGTGACTCGTGAGTAAGCAATCTTATTAAAGAACCTTGCTCCAGAAAGAGTCTTATGAATGAGTATAAAACTTTAGTTTAACCAAAAAAAAACTTAAAAATAAATCATGTAAAGGTTGTAAATTGATGTAACTAACGACAAAAAATAAAAAATATTTTAAATCATCGAAGACGACATTTCCTTCAAGATTGTTTGTTTAGGCTGTGGTTTATCACCTGTAATATCCGGGGCGGTTATATTACAATCTCCATACTCCTTAGATAAAAATAAGTTAAATTTCTATTTTAGAGAAATAAAATTTTTGATTAAAATCGTGATTTATTCTATAACGTTTTAAACAAGCTGCAGTTTCGTTATAACAGTTCAAACCAAATTTTGTTAAACCTAAAACAAAGCTGTTACAGTTGGTTATAGAAAGGGTGTCCCACAAAACATGACGACTTGAATATCGTCTTCATTACCTTTTAAATAATTTGCAGCATTCATTCTTCAACCTACTTTTACAATTATGATTCTTTAAACCATAATCACCAAGTCCTGGCATTTCCAAAATATGGTCTGCCTTTCTTGTTCTTTCAAAACTACCGGAGAATTAAATAAACCTGGTGAACTCCGGAGGATATATGAGATTCAGGGTTTCCTAGTCCCATGTTAGCCCTAGAAAAACAGAATTCTATTCATATTTGGGATATACTGTAGAATATATTTTAAAACGAATTATCATAATTTTTGACGCAGAAAACTTAAACACTCACCCGAATAGGTAAAGTTTAAAAGGAATTGAGTCTTTGTCGCAAACTCTAATTTTCTAACTCCTTTTTAACCTATATGGGCCGGAGATATTTCAAATTTTGTTGGATTGAATAGTTTAAGTTTAAAATATCTAAGATTTACTCTATCATGTTGGCAAGAAAAAGGGATTAGACATTTTTTTGAGGCAAATACAAAATTCCTTTGCAAGACATAAAGTTTGCAAGTTTATCACTGTTTCATTGAAACATTGTGAGGTTCTAATAACTATTCATAACACTGTTATTTTGGTTCGCAATCTTATAAAGTTGTCGGCAGAAATTGTCTCTTTATCGAGAAGGTTCAAGCCTAAATAATAGTGGCATAGGTAATTTCATGAAACGTTTGTGTTTTTGTCTCTTATAATGGCTGGTCTTTGATCAAATAAGCTTTGAAACAAAACAGAAGTCAAAATGTAAAGTTGATTTAATTTTATTTTCATTTCAATTGATAAAAATATTTTGGAAATATCCTAAATTTTTTGGAGAAAATCCGGGAACCAATCAAAACTTTACAGAGCATGTGAAATTCACGATGAAGTGAGTAAGAATGATAAAGTAAACTATAGTTTCATAAAATTTTCAAAAGATATAAAACTTACGTCATAAATGTATAGTATCCAACTAAAAAGAACAGCAGGGTGTAATTTGCATCCTTAAATCTAAAATAAAAAAGCTAAGATATTTTGAGCATGTATTGACACCACTGCACTGAGTTCTAACCTGCTTGGTTTAGCTTGGTCTCTGTAGATATATCCAACTACGATCAATGATAAGTAGAGGATAAGAACTAAGACCAGGGACCTATAATAATAAACAAAAAATGTGTTAAAAATTTCCGCAACATTTGATTCATAGAGAAATTTAATCTTAAAAATGTTCCTCCCCTGATGTATACTATTTGTGACCTGTATGTATGCATAAACTGTTCCTCCCCTGATATCTACTATTTGAAACCTGTATGTATGCATAAACTGTACCTCCCCTGATATCTACTATTTGTGACCTGTATGTATATATAAACTGTTCCTCCCCTGATATCTATTATTTGTGACCTGTATGTATGTATAAACTATTCCTCCCCTGATATCTACTATTTGTGACCTGTATGTATATATAAACTGTTCCTCCCCTGATATCTACTATTTGTGACCTGTATGTATGCATAAACTGTTTCTCCCCTGATATCTACTATTTGTGACCTGTATGTAATATGTATGCATGATATTATCTTACCTCATCTATGAACATTCAAGGCCAGGTCGCTTCTGTCTCTGGCCGCCTCTGTCCTCCTTACCTGTACTTGAATTTGGCGAAAGGATTAAGTATGTATTCCTCTACCAACTGTATGGTTCTCCCTTACCCTGTTGGATCTGAATAATTGCCTCCTGAGGTCGACCAGCCTGTGACAGTACCTCTGACTTTCGTAAGAATAGTTTTCAGGTAGGCTGGTCGACCTGGTTGACCTACCTGTCTTGCTATCTGCTAGGTTAGGTCGGTCAACTCTGCTGACCGGCTCTGAATAGTTTGTCGTTAGCCGGTCAACCTGGTTCCCCCTGGCCGCTGTCCCATGGCCGGTAAACCCTGTTCACTGGCCCTGGGTAAAGCAACCTGGAGGACCCAAAGTGAAGAGAGGGTCTTTCCCCTCTTCTGAAAGATATCTTGTGAAAGGGAGGAGGGCGGGAGCGCGAAAAGAACGGAGCTTAAACTTGGCTTCGTTTGTGCAAACTGTAATGGCCGCCCCCTGGCCTGGTTGCAGCGCTCGATGAGCGCGGCGGTTGGACTTGGTACTAAAATGGTGTTCAGTTTGTTCCTCTAGATTACAGTAAGATAATATCAAAGCCTCTAAAACATTGTTCAAGATCTCAATACATAAACTGTTCCTCCCCTGATATCTTTTTATTTGTGACCTGTATGTATGAATAAACTGTTCCTCCCCTGAGATCTACATATAAATATATGACCTGTAAGTAGGTAAGCCCTGTGCTTCTCCTGCTATTAGCTGAAGAACTGACATCTGAAGGACCATGAGAGGAGTAGAAAACAAACTTGTTAATAATAAACTCAAACCCGTAGACATCTAAATAAGTCAATTGTTACAGGGGTGCACCCACAAAGGATGAGACTTCATAGACGAGTCTTTTAATGAACAAATCTTAATGGGGTGTAGACAGAAATTTAATTGACTTTATAGTATATTTTGTTACCTTTTTTCTGAACAGGGTCATAGATAGGATAAAGTAGAAAGAACAGGTAAATGTAATAACCCAGACACTGGAGCCTTCACAAAGACGACATTTAATCGATTCTCTTAAACTTGCAAAAATTATCAAATTCAAATATTACCGATTGGCACTCCAAGAAGTTTGTTCCGAATGGGGGCATCAGTATCATGCCAGGTCCACCATAAAAACTTGGCGCCTGAACATTTTAAAAAATCTGGATATGCATATGTAAGACAAATCTGTTATGATATGCGTTACTCTTCTTTTACTTCTTTTACTTAAAGTTTTGTTATTTTTTACATTATAGATAAACTTGAATGGCATTTTTAATATTAGGAAGTAATTCGAACCGAGCACTGAGCATCAGTATCCAAATTGAGTGTTATACAGTTAAGCCCTATAAGCCATACATCGAAAGAATTCATCAAATGTCGTATTCTTAACTTTCTGATAATGAAATGATATTTTGTTTTTTGATTTTGATTAAATGATTATATGCAGCTGTTTAAAACTGTTCCGGCATATTCATGGCTATTTCTTTATTTTCGCAAATACTAAGATTTACGTAAAATAGTGTAAAACCCATTGAAAAATTGTCAGGACGACATTTGATAAATTCTTTCAATGTATGGATCATTTAGGGTTTAACTGTACTTTGACATAAGAAAATGATTTGGTCAAAGAAATAAAAAGAAATCATCTTAAATTAAGACTTAAAGATTTAAAACTACATCTCTCCCCCTCTGTACTCAATTACAAATGATGAGCCTTACAAAAAGTTTACATTTTAAAAACCAGCAAAGTTTTAATTGTAAAACTTGTAAAAGATGATTTTAAAGTTTGAACCTGTGATATCATAAGGAGAATAAATTGCTTCTCCAAGTATCCCTGCAAGGCAAGCTCCAGGTACCAAGGAGAGCTGAAGCATATCTGATATATTTATAAAAATGATAATATATAATAATATTGGATCTTAAGTATGTATCATCCTTTGTGAGTAAATATCACTAACAGAAACTGTATCATTTAAATCTGTTGGATGATAAAGTAAGGGCAACAACAATGACAAAATAAAAGAAGCTTTTACTATCGTTTTACTTATTTACCTGCAGCAACAAATCCGCAGTACATAAAGATATTGTAAACACAAGGAATGTACAGCGGCATTCTTGGTGTTAACATTATGCAGGCCTAAATATTATTCATATTAAATAAATCTTTTATGTAATTCTTTTGTAATTTATAACAATTTTTCAGGAAAAAAAACTGTGTTTTTATTTGAATAAAATATGAATTGTATACAGTGAATCCCAGATATATGAATACATAGACCGTCATAAGGTTTTTTATAATTCTAAAGAAACTTCTTTTTATTTTTAATTCAAGGTAAATTAATAGCCCTGAAATATGAATGCAATTGATATATTAATATTAAACTCATTTTCCCGCGGCATTTGATCGTAAATACAGGGTGTCCCACGAAACATGACAGTATTCAGGACGACTTGAATGTCGTCTTGATTTTTGATATAATTTGCTGCGTTTTTTTGTCAACCTAATTTTAGAAGTAAATTTCTTGAGATAATAATCACAAAATTTCCCTTGTCCTGCCATTTCCAAAATGTGGTCTGCCTTTTTTGTGCTTTCAATATTGCCCGAGATATGAAGAATTTCGTTCAGATTTCGACAATTTTGCTTTTATTTAACAAAATTGAAATCTGAAGCAAACTTTTTATATCTCCGGTAAAATTGAAAGCACAAAAAAAGCCAGACCACTTTTTGAAAATGCCAGGGCTAGGAGAATTATGTGATAATTGTTTCAAGAATCATACATGTTAAAGTAGATAGAAGACTAAATGTCACAAATAAATTCAAATACCAAAGACGACTTTCAAGTCGTCTTGCTATGGTCATGTTTCGTGGGACACCCTGTATGTATTACGATGTTATAAAAAACTCAATTGCTATGTATTTATGTAGTAAATAAATTTTGTACAAAACGATAACTAACTAGAGAATCTCAACTTTTAAATTTAAACGTTTCCATTGAGAATAGCTACCTCCCTCCTATTCCAGAGTCTAAAACTAAAGAATGCGCGAATTTTAAGTTCTGGGTTAAAAGTTCTGTAAAATAATGAATAGCTTTTTAAATATTAAACTTTCTCAATTTTAAATTTGAATTTCCCGGGAAAATCTGAACCAATCAGAGAAAAGGATTTACGAAGAATATTACATAACCATCGCTAATCAGCTGATTACGTAACCGAAAACAAAACATATTTCGAGTTACAACCGTATTTTGGGTTTACATGCAAAAATTAATTAACCTAAAACGAAAAATTTCGTTAACAAGGTTTTCACTTTTAAATATAACGTAAAGTTGAATGCCACTTTCTCAGCTGAATGATGATTGAATAATAGACAAATAGGGAAAATGCAGGATTTCAAGATTTTAACCCTGTGTTTAAATTTTATCTCGTCGATTTCGGCGAGTTAAATATTTAACCACAGGGTTAAATATTTAACCTCACGGTTAAAGTTCAGGTTTAAATTAAGTCAAAAGTGGCATTTAACCACGAACTTAAAATTTAAGTCAAAACTTTTCGTTCTTTTGTTTTAGACTCTAGTCCTAATATTCTGGTTCGGGGACCACATTGTAAGGATAGCGAGAAAAAGTTCAACCACTTATTTTGTGCACCGATTCAATTTCAAGAGATGTGGTTCAACTTTGTCTATGACCACTTTTTGTCCCAGACCACTAAAAACAAGTCTTACCTGGGCCTGCCAGAAGTTATCAACCATTGGCAGCATCATAAATATAGCATCATTAGCTGTCCCGGCTAGAAAAGCTGCTAACCAGACAGCTACATATTTTCTTCCATGTCTAGCAGCATGAACTATTCAATACATAAACATTTTTCAGATTTCTCATTTAGAAAGCTAGGTGTGCTGTAGTTTATCCAAGAAAACACTTAAATTTATTTGAAAAACACTTTAGATTAAAGTGAATCAGACGTAAGATTGAAATCTTACATGTTTTTAATCATAATTTATCTTAATAAAGAGCTATTGAGAAGATCAAAAATATTTTTAATTTCTTATTTGTAACCTAATAAACACGCTATTTTCAAAAATAAAGAAGTTACGAGATCACTAAACGTGCCAGTAATGTCGAAAAGATTTTTTTAGAGTTAGGAAGATGTTTGTTTTTATATTCCTAAGGTAACTAGAGTTAGGAAGATGAATGTTTATATATTCCTAAGGTAACTATAGAGTTAGGAAGATGAATGTTTATATATTCCTAAGGTAACTAGAGTTAGGAAGATGAATGTTTATATATTCCTAAGGTAACTAGAGTTAGGAAGATGAATGTTTATATATTCCTAAGGTAACTATAGAGTTAGGAAGATGAATGTTTATATATTCCTAAGGTAACTAGAGTTAGGAAGATGAATGTTTATATATTCCTAAGGTAACTAGAGATAGGAAGATGAATGTTTAAATATTCCTAAGGTAACTAGAGTTAGGAAGATGAATGTTTATGTATTCCTAAGGTAACTAGAGTTAGGAAGATGAATACGAACTCTCCAAGGACGAAGGAGGGAAGAACTTGAAATCTCTCAACAGGGGAACTAAAATTATAAACCTGTTTTAGAACTATTTAAAGGGACTTTTAACCAAGGAGTATTGAATAGAAGGGAGATACAACTGACGCGGCCCGCCCTACCATATGATTATAAATGCTATGCAGACGGTACTTCATTTGAATAAGAAATATTTGTCTGAAGTACGAATACCGTGTATACAATAACCTATTCTGAATATTTCATATACAACTGGAGTACCGTCTGCAAGGAGTGTATAATCATATGGTAGGGCGGGCCGCGTCAGTTGTATCTCCCTTCGATTCCATACTCGAGTTTTCAACGTAAATTAAATTCCCCCCCCCCCCCATTATTCTTAAAAAGTGTCATTTTCCAATTATATCTCTCCTGCATAAATCCGAAAGTCTCTTTTAAAGGGACTGTAACCGTTTTTGCAAGTGACCTTTGGACCATGTTTGCGAAAAATTATACGAAATTTCGGATTTCTTCGGAATTTTTTTTTGACTGCTAATGCAAATTGCCCATCATAGTTTAAAGTTACGTTCCCCCCTCCCAACTTCTTTTATAAATAAACCCTGAAACTCACGTCCAATGCTTCCAAGGCATAGATCTCCATTCTTCATTCCAGGATTCCATTCCCTCTGAAACAGGTTTATTTCTATATTAAAGGGACTGTTAGCGGATTTTCAAGTGACCTCCATGCAAAGATGGCAATACACGATTCACGAAAGTTTAATTATTTAAAGGCTGAAATCATTTTTAAATAAAGATCAAATTCAACCTTCAGATTGCTAAATTATATTAGTATTAAAGGTCGTCATTAAAGGTCGTCATTAAAGGTCGTCATTAAAGTTTCCTTCTTTGGAGATAATTATCGGTTTGGCAATAACTAAGTATTATAATGAGAAGACTGAAGTAGTAAACACTGCTGTACAACGTACAAGATGTAACTAAATGTGTAAACTTTACTTTAATATAGAAGTATATAGATAAGCAGGATATATTTACACAGCTGATCTTTTCTTCTTAAATTATACTAATACAGTAAACATAAGAGCATCTACATAAAGATTAAAATTCAAGAGAAAAAAGTAGAAATAGGACCTGTCAGTACTTTAACAAAAACGAACAATATAAAAATAATTGTATTTGCAAGCCAATTTCGTAGACCTAAGATATATTTCAAACTATGAATTCTGGTAAATTAAATAATCTAAGTTTGAAATACTTTTTTAGGTTGAAAAGATATAGGATTTCAATTACAAGAATAAACATTTTAACAATGTTTGATCAGGACGAATTATAAAACTAGTTGCTTCACCTCGAGATTTTTTCTTCTTACAGGGTGTCCCATCATCATATTAGATCGTCAATGGGTCTGAAATACAATTTTCAGGACTAATCAGAAAATTCAAGAATAATGAGTCATTTTGAAAATTTTTTGAAAATTGAAAAAAAATTTTGTCGAAAATGCTATTTTTATTTGAGTATTATTTGTTTATTTTGATGTTAAAGCTTGAAGATAATCTAATATGATATTGGACGCTCTGTACAAAACAATAACACTGTAAAATTTCGCAAATTTGCATGTTTTTTTTGAAAGATTGCATTAATTTAAAAATTTGAGTGACGGTAAAGAATATATCTGTGACTAAACATTTGTGTTTTACTTGTTTCTCAATCTGAATAAAAAATGGAACAATTTTGAGTAAATTCCTCTCTATATATATTCTCTACTCTGTGAACCCAACCAATTTATTCAGGATTACATCCCTGAAGCTGTTTTCCTGCAAGTTCGCTTCATTCAACCCCATTCTCCCATCCCCGGAAGGTTTGATGAGTTCTCCGGGTATAATTGAATCACTGGTCTGGTATGCAGACCATCACGTGCTAGGGTTCAGCAAGAAGCCGATCGCTATTAGTGAAAATTAGAGACCAATTTCCAGTAGGGGCCGGGGGGGGGGG